CCCACCTCCTTTTTCCTCTTTCTTCCCCTGGAGAGAAATGGGGGGAAATAAAAACTGAAAATATTTCATTTTTTGTTTGCTCTGTAAAAAAATTTGAACAAAATGAAAATTTTTAGTTTCCTTTAATTCCCCCCCCCCCCCCAAAAAAAATATATATGGACCAGCTTAGACAGACAGACAGACAGACAGATAGCACAGTTACTATGGGAGACAGGCAGCAGGCTGCCTTCCGATGACCTCCTCGCAAGCCCTGGGATAGGGGACATGTTGAGGGTAGAGCTGCAGCATGGCAGATATTCTGGGCAATACTATGGACTTGTGGAACAAGTCAATAAATAGGATTTAAGGTGGAATGAGGCTTCTTTGTCTCCCTATTTCTTTCCCCTTCATTTTAAAATAGCTGCTACCCACTAGCATTTGGCTTCCTATGTTTTCCTACCAATGCAGCAAGAAGGAGGGACTTCTATTAACATCTTGTCTTTGAACAAGATGCTTTCATTTTGCTTGTCAAAATCCCGTGAAAAAAATCTCTCTGCTTTGACCCTTTATTAGGTGCCACAGCGTGCTTGGACTTGCACACTCCAACAGTGTGGACTTGCAGGCTCTATAGTTTTACATTATTTTGTTTTTGAGAGCAGTTACGTAACAAAAAAAAATCTACATTTGTAAGTTGCACTTTCATGACACAGAGATTGCATTATAGTACTTGTATGTGGTGAATGAAAAATAGCATTTCTTGTATCATTTTTATAGTACAAATATTTGTAATAAAAACCATACACTTTGATTTAAATTACAACAATATATATGAAAATGTAGAAAAACATCCAGAATATTTAACAAATTTCAATTGGTATTCTATTGTTTAAAAGTCAGATTAAAACTGAGATTAATGGCAATTAATTTTTTTAATGGTGATTAACTTTTTGAGTGAATAGCATGAGTTAACTGTGATTAATCAACAGCCCTAATAATTAGAAAGAAAGAAAGAAAGAAAGAAAGAAAGAAAGAAAGAAAGAAAGAAAGAAAGAAAGAAAGAAAGAAAGAATGAATGAATTTTGGATGAAATTTTGTTTATCTGTATTTATCATACTTTTTTACAATATTATCGGAAAGGGGTGGAGAAGGAGGGAAGACAGGAATGGATTAAATAAAATAAAAATCTAAAGTAGGGGGAAGGAGCATTAAAGGGAGAAAAGTAAAAGGCATTGGGGAGGAAAGAAGGGAAAGAAGAGGAAGAGAAGTGTGACAGGTGGTAGTGAGGTCCTCACGCCCCGGGTATTCCTTGGGAAGCATACAGGAAAAATACAGAGGAGCATGGAAGGCAGCTGGAGTGAGGCTGAAGTGAAGAGAATGTGAGGGATGGGGTTGGAGCAAGCAACCAATCAGCAGAGAGGAAAGTAAAGTTTTTTGCATGCAAGATTTCTGGGAATGACAGAGCTTGTGTCTACACTGCAATCTGAGGTCCGTGAGCAGCTTGGGTAGACATACCCATGCTAGCTTTACCTGTACTAGCATGCACAAAAAAGCAGTGTTAGTCATGCAAATAGGTGCTGAGGGTCCCCGGCATGCTTGTACAGCGTGAGCTGAAGCCCATGTCACTGCACATATACTGCTATTTTTTAGCCAAACCAGTGAGGGTAGAGCTAGCCTGGGTATGTCTACCTGAGCTACAATCTCACCTCAGACTGTAATGTAGATATATCCTAAATATAAATGTAAATATATCCTAAATCTGGAACTGGACCTGCAGGAAAGGAAAGGTGGAAGTAATGTGTGGCTAAAACAATGCAGATTCAACTAGGAATGCTTTAATAAGGTGGGAAAAAAAAACTCATTCCAGTTTGTAGTGCACTTAGACACAAGTGCAGGGTTACATTGGGAATTTATAGTAATCTCACATTTTTGTGCTAATACCAAGATCCACTTGACCAGGCTAGTGCCAGTAATAAAATTTCAAATCTTTCCCAGTAGTCTAAAAAAAGTAATAGTGTTATTACGAGAGTGTGGGTGTGTTTAAAATGCAAAGCTTTCAAAAATGTGGGCTGTTTACTAAGCCTCAGTAAATGGTATTTCCCAGGGACATTAGGACAGGTCTGTGGCCAAATTCCTTCCTAAAGTAAAATTGCAATGTGATGTAAAAGATTTTATAGTCACTGTATCTAGTTACAATATTTGTAAAGCTTAAATTATAATAAAAAATAATAATTAGTGATCAAAGAGGAAGCTGCTATCTTGACATTCTGATGATAGTATTTTATATTCTGGTAGCACTCCCCACCTAAGGATCTCAAAGAACTTTACAAACATTAAAGCTTGCAGTCTAATGGGGAAAAATATTTATATGTGGTTTGGGGCTTCTAATTTTAGGGTATTACAGTGGCTTGGGTTTGAATCCCATCAGTTTTATACAGCTATTGGCAGATAACAGAATGGCTCAATGGCACCATACTTGACAAATATATGGCCTAATACAAACAAGATCCATATCCCCATTTTTGTTCATTTTAGCTTTACATAGGAAATTCACATGGCAATGATTATAAAATATCACTGGTTGTTGACCTGGATAATTTGGTGCAGGCCTTATTTGGGGCTGGTAGATCAATTCACTTTATCATCAGGATATAAAACTAAATGAGCAATATCTGTAATGCTAATGAATGAAAAGTTAGTAGCAACTGACCAATCATCTTCTTTTATCTTGAAATCTTCAAAAGATAAAATAACTTGGGGTTGAATAGTCATATGACCAAAGTACAGTGACAAACTCAATCCTGCTTCCATTAAAGTCAATGGCAAAACCCCCATTGAATATAATAGGAACAGGACTGGGCAGGAGGACAGTATAGGCCAGTGTAAATGATTAAAAACGATTCAGCAGATTATTCTATGCTAAATGTCCTTCTAGGTTACAGTTGGAGGAAGTATAAGGTTTTTATTTTATGTTTTGTTTTTTGGTTACCTACTTAAATCTTTATCTACAATTATCCAGATAATTGCTGTTCTTGTGATTCTAATAAATGAACACTTTTGCTCATGAAGCTAGATTATGCAATGAGTTATAATATCCAATAATTAGACAAGTCTGGCTACCTGTATAAAATTCCACCAAATGTGTGTGAATTTAAATTTCCACATTTCTTCCTTCAACACTCTACAAAAAGATTCCAGGTTAATAGATGATTGGAAGGTAGAGTGTTAGATAGATGAGCTGATCATACTGGTGATTTAATTTATCATGAACAAATTGTCTCAACTGCAACATATATTTAATATGGTATACTACAAAGATATGGAAAGTTACAGGGCCAGAACATGAAATCCTGACTCACCCTGGAGCTAAGCAAATGAGTAACTGTTCAATAATGGATGTAAAAAAAAAAAAATAAAAAAAATAATATATATATATATATATGAGACACTTATTGAGATTTTTCACTGTACAATTCTTGTTTGAAAGTATCTTTAGTCATTTTTGTCACCCTTTGATTTGGGGCCAAATGCTATACTGATTTATAACTCCCACTGAATAGAATTCTACAGAGTGTAATTCATGGCAGAATGTGACCAATTGTTTTCTTCACTACACTGTGTTTATTTACCTGTAGTCCATTTATTATGAACTTTAAAAGTGTGCCGGGAAAGCAGTGTATCACCTCTCTTCTATTACCTTGGAAATGGATAAAATATGAGCCTTATACCTTTGTCCCCTAACTGCTGAAACTAATTCACTGGCTTTAACAGAGTCTACTAGAAAGAATACCTGTTACAATACTAGACCTATTGAAAGACCGAGAGGTAAACTACAATAAAAAGACAACTTGGAAAAGTAATAGACCTTTAAATAAATGCACCGACCTATTTACAAAAACTCATTGTTCACATTCACATTGTTCCCAATATAATAGAACCTTCTTAAATTCATTGCTGCTAAAACATTTATTTTGTGCAACAAGGAAATGTACTCCAAATTATGAAGAATATACTATCTTTTATATGGGGCAAGAGAAATACATATATTCAGTATGGAAAGACATATACCTAAATATATCTGTTCAATTAGCTATGTTTACTTAGGTCTTATCTACACATTAAAATTAATCCAGAATAAGATCGGTTGCTAATTTAAAAGTTAATCCATTTCCAAAATTAAACTATTAAACAGAACTGTTATTCTGGAATAAGAGCATCAACACAGAGTTAATAAAGAATAGCTATTCCAGAATAATTCCTGGTGTAGACAAGCCTTTAGAAGGGATACAGATTTGATCCAACACTATGACTGAAGCACCTCTGAAGATAAGAATTCCTTCTAGGGAGAGTATTAGTTTTTGTCTACCCAGCACTGAAGAGCTTCACTGCATATTTCTGTACTGTGCCTGGCATGTGGATAACTGTTGGCCTTCAGTGTTCCTGGTCTCTTCATCTTCAGAAGCAGAATATTTACATACCGAGGCACAAAATCTCTTCTCAGAAGACGAGGGTCCCAAACATGAAAAGTTTTATCACACAGCTTGGAGCAGAAGGAGTTAGAGTTTTGCTCGCTGGAAAAATTAAATTGAAATCACCTTCTGTAATTAGGATCATAAAAAACTGCCCGTCTCTCATTCTAAATCCCATCCCTGACCCCCCAAAAGTCATTCTTGAATTATATGTATTGCAAGATCTGTAATGACTGGAGACAGTAAGATTGAGCATAGCTATTCCTCATTGCCGCTCACTTGGAATTCCTTCAGCAGAAAAGTCTTTTGGAAAATAGCAATCCTCCCAGAATGCAAATACACTTGGCCAGCCCATAAGGAAGCTAGAGCATCCTTTGTTTACCTATGCACCTGCAGAGGAAAGGTAAAATCCCTGAAGCTCCACCTTTTTAGAACCTTGTGAAACTATCTGGGAACTGTGCCAAAGCCTATTCTGTTGCTATATAAGACTTGTATAAAGACAAGTGCCTCTTCAGAAGCCTATAGTTTGGTAGTTTCTACCGAACTCCAATCAAGATGGGCATAGGCTGGGGGGTACGAATACCACTATGGATACCAATATTAGTGATCACCTTTATGCAGAACAAAGGTAAGAGGCTGTAGGTGCTTTTTATTTTTATTACTTTAGAGAACTTATAATTTGCTTTGCAGTTGGAAAGACTTTTCAGTGGTTTCTCTTTGCTTTGTGCAACTAATAAGGTTTTGTTTGTAAATGAGATTTCCCTGTCTTTTTCTATTCCTCTCCTTTCTAATGTTGCTTCACTGATTTCATATTGCCCTCAAGCCCAGCAAAAGCAGGTGGATGAATTGAAAAGCCATGGTCAACGGAGTTGCGTTGGCATAACTGAGAGTAGAATTTAGTCATATAATTATTCTGGCTGGTCATTTTTACCAGTTTCAATAGTTGGTTTTTTTTCAAATGTGAACATGGAAGGCTGCTAAAAACATGGCAAGTTAATAACATAGACTGCAAGCTTTACATAGTATCTGGTATTGGCTCCCTGTGATAGTAATCCTTCTGGTATTAAACCTTAAATTCACAGCTTTTTCTTTTCTGCTGCTGTTCCACTCCATTAATTCAAGATGCTTCACACTTCCACCTCTTGGTTAAAGAATTTGTATAAATGTTATGTTTGTTAATATATCACAAAATAGAGCTAAAATAGACAAAATGGTGCTTTCCACTCCTTAAAGTTAAACATTTCCTAGAGAAATATATTGCTGAGTTTTTATGACTGGATAAATACCAATATCACCAGTTCTCTTTTGCTTTCAATTTTCAAATGCTCTGAACCAGGCAAGTTCATCATAATATCATGATTATGAATAATCATATAGAAACCTACTTTCTGACAACATATGAAGCCTGTTTTTATAGACATGACAACAAATGTGGTGAATGAATTTACCTATAACAGAGCAGTTGTAGGCTATAGAGAACATACAGTGTTGGGGGAGCACATTACTCATTTGAAATATAAACTTGACTTAAATACTATAGATCATCTTAGCTGAAAAGCCTCTTGTGATGGAGGGAAAGGGTGTGATGAGAAAGATGACACAAAAAGAGCCAGTACAGCGTGTAGCATGAGAGACCATCAGTGCCAAGATTCTAGTTGTAACCAGAGGCTCTTATGGAGCAAATAAATATATGAACCAAGGGCAATATTCCTGCAAAATGTCATCCTGTTAGATCCACTTTTAAAATCTACCCAATGCCATAAGAATTTTGGTTGAATGCCAGTTTGCCTGCATAAGGTCAACATAAAAACTAAGGGCCCAATCCAACTCCTGTTGAAGTCAAATGGTGTCTTTGCATTGATCTTAAGGGGAGCAGAATTGGGCCATAAGTAAAGGAATTTAGGAGGTTATCATTAACTTTTAACTGTGAACCTATCGGCAAAATAAGCTGATATTGATGTAAATGTCAGACATGATTATCATTGAGACTTTTGGTAAAGGTGCATAAGGGATTAGTCCAAAGTTTGTCTTTCAAAGGAGAATTTGAAATAAATTTATGAAACCAGGATCCAGAATGCATAGGCCTAGCCTTCTATCATCTAAGAAGGTGTTTTATATTCACATTCTGTGTAATGTTTTATTCACTATGCCCTTTATTCATTCATTCCATGGCTAAACTCATAAAATGTTAGTATCCAGTGTTTTCTGATCTGATGAATAATTTTACTTCCCATGAATAACAAATCCTAATGACAGGTTTCAGAGTAACAGCCGTGTTAGTCCGTATTCACAAAAAGAAAAGGAGTACTTGTGGCACCTTAGAGACTAACCAATTTATTTGAGCATGAGCTTTCGTGAGCTACAGCTCACTTCATCGGATGCATACCGTGGAAACTGCAGCAGACTTTATATACACACAGAGAATATGAAACAATACCTCCTCCCACCCCACTGTCCTGCTGGTAATAGCTTATCTAAAGCAGATCATCAGGTTGGGCCATTTCCAGCACAATTTCCAGCACAACATCAGAGGGAAGCAGAATGATTCTCTGGGCTAGAACGCTAGGGAAGAGCACACAGTAGGATCAAATGATACACTCTTTGAAAGTGTGCTGAGTGTGTTGTTCCAGGGACAGTCTCAGACATCCTACTAGTGCAGATGGGGCCATGGTAACCTCTCAGCCCATGTCAGCCTCACCCATTTGGGATGCCTAGCATCAGTGGTGGTGCTAGCAGTCGTTCTGTACTCAGGGAATACAGGATTCTGCCTGCCTTTTGCTCAGGTGCTCCCCATGTCTGCTCAAGAGCTACCAGAATGTGCCCTCAGTATTCTGTGTTTTCATTAAGCAATGTTTTTGGTTAAACAGGCAACCGATGAAGTGAGCTGTAGCTCACGAAAGCGTATGCTCAAATAAATTGGTTAGTCTCTAAGGTGCCACAAGTACTCCTTTTCTTTTTATATTTTGAGATGATGGTGCAAAGGAATCAAAAGGAATATCTTCAGGGTTGTTGTTATTATTTTGAACAAGAATCAAGTTGGGGGCCCAATCAATAATCTGAAATAAATATATCAGCTCCCCAGTTCTATCCACATTGCTTCTGGGTATGTTAGTTATTATTTTTGGTGTTTGAAGTTTTAAACCAGCGATTATGGGTCAGATTCTACTCTGAGTAACACAGCATATATGTTGACCCTCTAGCTCTAAAAAGGGTTCTTCCAGTATAAAACAAGCTTCTCTATATCCTTCTCTGGTTATTTGTTATTATTTCTATAGTGCCCAAGATGTACATAGGACTTTGCAGATGGTTCAAGTGTACAAATTCAGAAAAACAAAGACTCAAATGGAGCCTTTGCTCTAAATAGCTTAGAAGGGCGGAGAGGGTAGAGTATGGCTAGCAAAGAAAGAGACAAATTCTCCACTCAGTTTTCATTGGTATAATCCAAGTGATTTTGGTAGAATTTTTATTGTTACAACCAAAAGAAAAACTTGGCTCAAGGCGTGATAGATGGGTCAGGTTCTGAGCTAGTGTCAATCAGGCTAGCTCCTTTAAGTCTACGGAGCTATACCAAGTTACACTGCTGAGGAGCTGACCCGATAGTTGGCAGACCAGGTCCTTGTTTTTAGAATGGATTTGAAGGAGGAGAGGGTGAGAGTTTGGTGGAGATTAAGTGACCAGCTAGCAGGTTGCTCAGGGGAAGCACAGGGGAAAAGCTCACAGACTATTAGCCTTCCTATTACCCTTTCCCAATAAACATGCAAACCTGTTCAGTCTCAGAGCAGAAGACTAAGAACTCCTACTCAGTTCTGACACCTAAAACAAAAATGGATAGGTTGCAAACCCCATCTCAAATGTGTGTGTTTTTCAGAGAAATTAATAACGGGGGGCTGTGATATGTATGGAGTAGGGAATGTGGGAGTGAACGGGGGTGGCAATGATTATGCACCTCAATCAAAGTCCATTAGAGTCACTTCATAGTTCAGGCCCTCTATACCACTTGTCATTGACTTATATATAACAACTGCTGTAAAAAAAAAAAAAAGAAGAAGAAGAAGACAAAGAAGAAGAAGCATTCCAGCCATCATAACACAAGAGACCGGGAGGTCTTTTAGATCTGAACTGTAACTAGAGAGAAAAATTCTCCATTTTCATCTTTTAAAATATTTTCATCCTCACAGCCTTTGTCTCTGTGTGAGTGTGTGTTTGCATTTGCCACAGTATAACAAACCACAATTACCACACAGTTTCCCTGCCTAAAAGAATGCTACTTTTGCAGATGGTATTGTTCCACCAGGTGTTACTGAAGAATTTATGAACACAATCCCCCAAAGTAACTTTTTTTTTCTACAGTTAAAGCCCAATATGAGGACCAACAAGCAAATGATGATGACTATAATTATGTCCAGCAGGGACAAGACTGTAAGTTTTATGTTTTATTTTATTTATTTATTTGACAATCTAAATTTAGTCAGTGTTGTCTTAGAAACTGATTGCAATGGACATAGAGTGATTAAAGTGTACTGTGCCTTTAAATGAAGGGAGAGGAAAAATTCCCTATACACAATGTTCAATTCTTTGGAATTGATTCTGTAGGGCCAGATCCTCAGCTGGTGTAAATTGGCAAAACTCCATTGAAGTCAGTGGGGCTATGCTGATTTGCACCAGCTGAGGATCTGGCCCATTGAAGCTACACTGTTATCTAATCTATAAGTACGTAATAGGTACATACTGCAAATTTACAAGGTGTATTTTACGAGGTTTGTGTGTGCACATGTGTATCACAAAGATATTTGATAATCGGCAATAAAAAGTACTTTTTTTTATTCTATTGAGATAACTGCATCACTCATGATAGGCAGAAATGAAAAGTACTGCAGTACATGCACCAGAGACAGTGCAAATTTGTGTATAAAATATATTATGCTGCTTGTTGGAACATATTAGTTACATGTAATAAGATAAGGGATGTTTATTGGCTGTTGGTATAATACTGCTATCAGAACAAAAAACACGTTGTATAAAAATTCTAACAAAATGTCCCTGGTTCCTTTCTCTGGTAAATTTATTGCACTATAATTTAACTAATCAGCCTGAAAATCTGAACCATAACCTAATCTGAAATTAGCAACCCTGACAAACCCAACAGCTGGAAGCTGAAGGTAGACAAATTCAAACTGGAAATATGGCAAACACTATTAACCTTGCATAATGACAGGTTTCAGAGTAACAGCCGTGTTAGTCTGTATTCGCAAAAAGAAAAGGAGTACTTGGGGCACCTTAGAGACTAACCAATTTATAAATTGGTTAGTCTCTAAGGTGCCCCAAGTACTCCTGTTCTTTTTACTATTAACCTTGAGTGTAACTAACCATTGTAACAACTGATCAAGGGAGATGGTGGTTTCTCTATCCGTTGAAGTCTTTAAATCAAGACCAGTTGTCTTTCTAAAAAAGATGCTCTATTTCAACCGCAAATCATTGATCTAGTGGAGCAACCACTGGGTGAGACCATGTGGGCCATGTTATTCAGGCGATCAGGCTACAGGAACATAAAGGTCCCCACTGGCTTTTAAATGTATGAATTTATTAATAAAGATATTATCCTTCATTTACTCCAGGAGTTTAAAAAAAAAACTCAGAAGGAGCTTTAAGGGAGATTAAAACCATTCTTGACCTTTACCTCCCAGTATACATGCAAGTGGAACCCTGTAGTGAGGATTCAGTAGTAGGTGTTGAGAACCTACATTGCAGCTTCTCTGAATCTCAAATCCATTCAATGCTGGAATCAAAGAAGAAATACTGGGGATGAACACAGCAAATTTAGGGCCAGAACCTGCAAATGGGAGTCGTTGTGTGGAAAAGCACTAGGTTCGTGATTAAGTGTTTGCAGAATTCTGCAAGAATTCTTTGTTGTTTGCCTGAAGTTGGCGGTATGTGAGTGTGTGTGCATACATGTACTTCCAGCTAAGAAAAGAATATGAGATCTAAACAAGTTCTGCTGTGGTTTCTCAACCCCAACCACTTAAGCACTCCTCCAGTTTTCCACTTCTACATATACTGGGAGCCAAAAGCTGTGAATAACTTTAATCTCCATTGTGCTGCCTGAGGTTCTTTGTATAGTTCCTATCCTAGATGAAGGATTAAATCGGTATCAGCTTGCAGATACCTACTTTGGGCAGGTGGGGTCAGATTCAGTTGGGCTCCTTGTGTGAGAAAGGACTACTGACTTGAGGAAGGGTTAGCAGGATCAGGCCATTAATGACAGTTTACACTGGAAGCCAAAATTTGATGCAGTGGCATTAAGCCATCAATAGACTCCCTTGGAAACTTCCCAGTGAGCATTACTTGCAGTAAAAACCTTTAACCACTAATGAGGCTAGGAGATCCATATCTGTGTTTGCCAATGTGTTTACTGAACCTTTTGAATTAGTGATAATTGTATTTCTTTTTCTTAGATTTTTCTGTACCGGTAACTAAACCACAAGAAGTGACAATCATCCAACCACTGAGAACGACGCTGCCTGTAAAGCGTAAGTTAAACAAATGCCATGTCTTTATGGAATATTGATCAGAACTGTAGGGTAAGTGAAGAGATGTATAGACTAAAGAGAAAAGTTAACAGAATGACTGATATATACACAGATCAATAGATAGCTAGATGAGAAGATAAAGCAGAGAATGGGTTTGTTGTTTAGATAGATGGATAAATATGTACATGAATTAGACAGTGAGTGACTAACGAGACTTACACCGGAATTTTCAGTACAGCCCTACAGCTTGTTTTGAATCCACAGCTGGCAACCCTGCTCACAATGAACGTGTGTGCAGCACCTGGGGCAACTTTCACTTCAAGACCTTTGATGGGGACATCTATCACTTCCCCGGGCTCTGTAACTATGTCTTTGCATCCCACTGCAAATCTGCCTACGAGGACTTCAACATCCAGATCAGGCGCACTGTGCTGGAAAGCTCTCCTGTGATCAGCCATATCACTCTGAAGCTTGACGGAGTGGTGATTGAACTGACCTCAGACTCCATTGTGGTCAATGAAAACCCGTAAGTTCAGATGTCTTATTATCTGATGAAATTGGCACCATTGATATTGCCCCCAATGGTCTGTTTGAAAGGATGTCTGTTTCAGTCTCATTCCCTCAGGCTATTCTAAAACAGCATAAGGGGATAGGCCCTTCTTAGAGCAGCAGCAGAAACAGGGGAGTACAGAGCTGAGCTTTATTCCACCTTTACAGATTACCTCCTGATCTATGTGCCATGAAGTTCAGTGGCCCTCCAGACCCTACTCTACTGTTGTAATTTAGAGGCCTCTAGGTGCCATAAAATAAAGGCAGAATAAAAACAAACAGAGCAAAATACCTAAATAAATCCAAGATCAGGAATACAAAAAGCTGGACACTGCAGCAGGAAGGAAGGAAGGAAGACAGTACATATTAGCAAAAGAACAGAGAGTCCTAGCCTTCTCAGGACTTTGCGGGAGGGATAGCTCGGTGGTTTGAGCATTGGTGAGTTCAATGCTTGAGGGGGCCATTTAGGGATCTGGGGCAAAAATTGGGGATTGGTCCTGCTTTGAGCAGGGGGTTGGACTAGATGATCTCCTGAGGTCCCTTCCAACCCTGATATTCTATGATCCTCTCCTGAAGGATGCCACAAGTGTATATGTGAAGGGGAAAAGTATCTCAGTGATTCCAGTTCTACACTAGAAAGCCTTTCATCTTGTCCCTTCAAGACTGCATGTGGGGAAGTCCAGCAATCCCAGCTCTGCCATTTCAACTGAGCTAGTCTTAGTTTCGAAGAAAGAACAAAAAAGAACAAATTGCCTCCAGAGAAGCTAGTCCTATATTATTTACGGCTTTAAAATAATCATAGCAGAGCACTTGACGTGCACTTGCTAAACAACAGACAGGCATAGCGCTTTCTGAATTATATCATATAGCAGACAGACTGGCATTTTATAAATTAAAACATCATGTATAGATGTACGGGAAAGGAATGGCACCAGAAGACAACACTGGCCCCACAGCACTTTGGAGAGCAACTGCACAGGAGATTATCCACCCCACCACTGAAATTTTCCAGGTTGTTATAAACTTGTGCAGTTCATATTTAGAAATGCGTGTTACTAGCAAACTCCTTATTCAGTTGCATTAAAAATGTCTCAAAGACTGGATGTCAAATTCTGTACTCCCACTTTAATTGCACTTTGATCTCTCTCCAGAATTCAGCTGCCTTTCAGCCAGTCAGGAATCCTGATAGAGAGAAGTAGCGGCTATTTGAAAATCACTGCCAAGATGGGCCTGGTCTTCATGTGGAACCAACTGGATGGTCTTCTGGTAAGTGTATATTCCAGATGTTACAAAGAACAATTATTTTTAAATTATTCCCTTTATTGGCTTTCGTGAGCCAGAGATTAGGTGATTTGGGATATTTACCCATTTTCATTGCATTGTGTTACCCTATTATGCTTTCAATTTCCTTTCTTTTCTCAGAGTTCAGTTTATAATCACCATTCTTCCCAAGCCACTAATAGATCCTTGTAGTGAAATGTAATCTTCCTCAGATACGAAATACACCACTGCTTTGATGTTCACAGCTCCTGGGCTAGATTCAGCCCAAGTTTTTACGGACATTCAGTAGCATAAACAATGGTACAGAACTCCAGCAGTGGAAGTCCACAAGGGGAGGAGACTGCTGTGAAGCAAAGTGGCCACAACTCCCATCCTGAAGTCCTGGGGTGATCATAAGAAATCAAAGATTGATAAAATAGACCAGACTTAGTTTAATCCATCATATTGTTCACCCAAACACCCGTTCCTAATGAAAAATCCTGTCTGACCAAACTACTGCATGGATTTAGGTTTAATTTCACCCCTGTGTCAAGGGCCAGCACCATGTCTATGCACCACTGATTTTGAAAACTTAAGTGGGATGTATGTAGTTCATAGACTTTGTGGTGAACCTCTGCATGGTGGTGAATTCCATACTTAACATTGAATACACTGTAACTTTTAACTCTGTGTGTAACTCCCTTACCCCATTTTTTTAGGTGGAACTGGATAAGAAATATGCCAATCAGACCTGTGGGCTTTGTGGGGACTTCAATGGCATTCCAATTTACAATGAGTTCACGTCAAACGGTAAGTAACAACAACATTACTAAGCACTGTGATTTGATTTTCTTTCCTTTAATAGTATTTGTTTCACATAGAATGGGGCACTGATCCACAGATAAATTGTGAAACTATACTGACATTTAGTATTAAACTACACTGATGTTTAATATTGACATGCACTATTTTATATCCTTTGATTTAACACTTGTATAGTAGGCGTAGGGTATAAAGCTGGGAGAAGTGATTTCCTGTTTGTTTGTTTTTTACATTTCAACACCAAACACTTGCCAGCTATTCACACTTTCTTCATCACTCTTTCCTTTTGCTATCATGGTGATTACCACTGCCAATGTCATAAGTGTCAGTGTTATGGAAACACCAATGTCCACACAAAATTAGCACTGCATTTTCAAAGCCAATTAAAGCACCATAATATATTTTTTAAATTGCTTATTACAGACATCAAGCTGACTGATGTGCAGTTTGGGAATATGCAGAAGATGGACGGACCCACAGAGCAATGCGAGGATCCTTCATCTTCTTCTCTTACAAATTGCTCTACTGAATTTGTAAGGATCTTTGCTGTAGTATTTTGTTTTTCATTGAAACATCTGTGCTTCTTCCTCTTACATCAATGAATTAATTTGGGGAAAATTTGGAAGAGTAGGAAAACATAACATGAATCAAAAGGAAGACAATGGGATGTCTCTGGAACAAAATCATTTAAAATATCTAAATAAAAATTAGTTCTTTGGCATTTTGTTGCTCTAACACCACTATTTTCCCTTCTAGAGCGCTGTCTGCCAGGCGGTATTGACTGGTAAAGCATTTGTGAGCTGCAATGCACTGGTGGATGTTCAAGACTATATTGACTCTTGCATACAAGACTTGTGCCGCTGTGATGAGTCTATGAGTGACTTCTGCATCTGTAACACCTTTGCTGAATACTCCCGGCAGTGCGCCCATGCTGGTGGACAACCTCTGAACTGGAGAACTAAAGAACTGTGCAGTAAGTATCTCAAGAAGATGCTTTCTCCTATGCTTGCAACTAGTCACCAAGAAATTCCAATAGTGTGAAATTTACTCCTGTGCAGACAGCCTGCAAAAGGCCTATACACCATAATTTTCACTAAGTCAATTTCAACCTGAGTGCATCAGGGCCTTACAGGAATTAAAGGTTGTCAAGGTTCCTCCCCCACTCTGAACTCTAGGGTACAGATGTGGGGACCTGCATGAAAAACCTCCTAAGCTTATCTTTACCAGCTTAGGTCAAAACTTCCCCAAGGTACAAAATATTCCACCCGTTGTCCTTGGATTGGCCGCTACCACCACCAAACTAATACTGGTTACTGGGGAAGAGCTATTTGGACGTGTCTTTCCCCCCAAAATACTTCCCAAAACCTTGCACCCCACTTCCTGAACAAGGTTTGGTAAAAAGCCTCACCAATTTGCCTAGGTGACTACAGACCCAGACCCTTGGGTCTTAAAAACAATGAACAATCCTCCCAACACTTGCACCCCCCCTTTCCTGGGAAATGTTGGATAAAAAGCCTCACCAATTTGCACAGGTGACCACAGACCCAAACCCTTGGATCTGAGAACAATGAAAAAGCATTCAGTTTTCTTACAAGAAGACTTTTAATAAAAATAGAAGTAAATAGAAATAAAGAAATCCCCCCTGTAAAATCAGGATGGTAGATATCTTACAGGGTAATTAGATTCAAAAACATAGAGAACCCCTCTAGGCAAAACCTTAAGTTACAAAAAAAGATACACAGACAGAAATAGTTATTCTATTCAGCACAATTCTTTTCTCAGCCATTTAAAGAAATCATAATCTAACACATACCTAGCTAGATTACTTACTAAAAGTTCTAAGACTCCATTCCTGGTCTATCCCCGGCAGAAACCAGCATATAGACAGACACACAGACCCTTTGTTTCTCTCCCTCCTCCCAGCTTTTGAAAGTATCTTGTCTCCTCATTGGTCATTTTGGTCAGGTGCCAGCGAGGTTACCTTTAGCTTCTTAACCCTTTACAGGTGAGAGGAGCTTTCCCCTGGCCAGGAGGGATTTCAAAGGGGTTTACCCTTCCCTTTATTTATGACAAAGGTTTTAAACATTTTGCAGTGACCGGGGATGCCAGTATTCCCCAGAGTACTCAAATTGCAGATATCAGCACATCTCCTAAGAAAATTCATCTTCAGATACAGATGTCACCTCTCCAAGGTTTAAATGGAAAAGCCAACACATGGGGATAAAATTAAGAACTCTTTTTCCTTTTTTCTCCTTTCAGACAAGACGTGCCCTTATAACATGCAGCACGAGGAATGTGGCTCACCCTGTGCTAACACCTGCACCAACCCTGAAAGGTCAGCCCTTTGTGAAGATCACTGTACCGATGGCTGTGTCTGCCCCCCAGGCAAGTTTATATTCATCTTTTTTTCACATATTCAAAAGCACCAGCAAAGCATCCTCTCCTAGGATATATTATACCTTTTAATGCTCTTTCCACAGCTACAGGAAGATCCATGTTCTTTCCTTGAGACATGTACATAGTTTCTATCTATATTAATGGAAACACCCTTTCAGATGACAAGGGTTTACTCAGGACATGTATCTGATGTGCAACAAAGTGACTGAAATGAGTATATGACAGCATACTAGAGATGGAACTCTCTAAACCTGGCAGCTTCCTTAGCCATTGTGTGCAGGAAGTAGATTATATTTAGTCACCTTCTGCCCACAAAAATGTTTCCTGACATTAGCAACTTTGAGCCCGATCCTGCAAGGTGATGAACATTTCCTGTGGAGTGCTGACTGTCCTCCTCTCCCTCTGTAAACATTGGGAGTTGGGAGCACTCAGCAGTTGATAAGATTAGGCCATTTTCAGGACTTATGCATGATAAATGGACATTAATCTGTAATTGTAGGTACAGTAGCTGCCTGCTATCTTCATGCAAACTACATTCTCATGCTGAGAATATTTGTTGACTGGAATGAATTTATCATCATCATATTTTCCATCCCTGCTCTTCAGCCCATGCTCCATGTGTGGTCACATGTGGTGCTCCCTGGTGTCCTCATCTCTTGTCAGAATAAATTAACTAGTCTCCCTGAGACTATTATGTTCTTGCATTAGGATGTATAGTGTTTACACTACAAATGGTTCCCATGTGAATGTACAGATTGTTTACTCTATTGCATCCTGTCACTCTGTCATCTCGCAACTCAAATCAGTGAGGCCCATCTCACAAAGGCACTTACCAGAGTATCATAGAGCAAAGGAACTCTAGGATTTCCGCCACTCTTTAATTGGTTACACAGCCACAGCAGTCAGTAGATAGCAGAGATTCCATTAGTACAATGCTTTTTATTTTTGCATTTCATCTGTAGTAAAAAAGAAACACAACATATTTTACGATGTCTTCTACAGGTGTGCTCCGAAACAACTTCTGGAAAGCATGACAAAGTGAATAACTTACTATTTCTTTTTCTAGGAACCGTGTTTGATGACATTAACAGCTCTGGCTGTGTCCCTCTCAGCAAGTGCTACTGTACCTACAAAGGTGAAACGTATAGTCCAGGTGCTTCTTTTACATCCCAGTGCACTTCATGGTAACCTGCTATTTTTGTCAAATCTTTTCCTTTTTTCTGAATTACCTGATAATTGTTGGCAATGGGCAAGAAATCATTGATTACACAGGGCCTGAGAATGAATACATTAGTCTGAAGCTTCTGGCTTAAAATACTTATTAAAGTTGTTTATCTCCTTGGTTTCTTTCTGTATATGAGAACAAAAACTTGAATTTAGACAAGAGTAATCTCATTTTCAAACACAGGGACGTTAACAATATGATCAAATCCAGTCACTGAATGCTCAAATCAGCCCTCAGTAACATAAATCCATTGGTGGACTCCAGCATGAAATATGCATGTTCTATATAAGCATCATTTTAAATTTGAAGACACAGTGTATTACATGGATAGTGAGATTATGTGTACGCACATAACAGCTTCTGGATGTGAATTGATGGCTTCCCCCTAGCTGTTTAAGTATTACTTCAGTGTATGTATATGTGTATATGTATATAAAAAACACAAAGTCTATTATTTGTAAAGAATTATTTAACATGCTCTGAATTTTGACCCATGCTAATGAAGGTAAGAGGCCAAAATCAATGGGAGAAAAATTCCTTGGTATTCAGTAGAATTGCTTCCACTTTCACAAGGGCTGGATTTGGTCAAAAGATTTACAATGGATAGCTTTAGATTGAAACATCATTACCATGAAGACAGAAATGCCTTTCCCTTAGTCATTCTGAGTTTTTAATGCAATATCAGTTAGTCTACTTGCAAACATTCTTTCCCCTGAAAAAGCAGTGATAAAAACAGCAGGGGGGGAAATGAAGGTGTCATCTGTCCCCATTTTCTCCCATTTTTCTTAAGCTTGTGTTACTCAAGCTTAACAAACATCTCTTGTATTTTATTTCAGTACCTGTACTGGAGGCCAGTGGAGTTGTGTCAGCCTTTCATGCCCTGGGACTTGCTCCATTGAAGGAGGTTCCCACATCTCCACATTTGATGAGAAACGTTATTCCTTCTTTGGAGACTGTAGCTACATCCTGACAAAGGTAACTATAATTGGGCATTTACTGCCAGTGCAACTTAATATAGGAAGATTCTTTAATTAGAGAGGATGCAACTTAATTAGTGCTACTCGAAGTCTCAACATGGGGCTTGATCCAAAGAACAATGAAATTAATTGGATTGTTTCCATTGACTTCAATGGGCTTTGGAACAGGCCCAGAATAAACAAATGCAAAGACTTAATCAGGTAGCTGGAAACATTAGGAATGTCTATTATTTAGGTGGTGGGACATTTCCTTATGAATTACTTTGCATTTTCCAGACCCCTCAGTATAACCTGCAGATGGTTACCATACATTTTCAAATAAATCTCCTCTGTCCTGTGTTTTGTACTTTTTTCTTTCTGAGTAAAGTTAACCCTCCTTTCTGCTTCCATTGTCACCCTTAATCCAGTTTGCCCCCAGTTTACCTTCCTTGATTAAATGTTCTTCATATCAGAAGCATCATTTATAGTTCTCATGCAAACTGACTATCAGCTTTCCTATTGCCCTTTCCCAATATACATACATAACTGTTCAGTCTCAGAGCAAAAGACTAAGAACTCCTACTCAGGAGTAGGATCTAAAATGTGTGTGTGTTTTTCAGATAAATTAATAACTGGGGACTATGATATGTATGAAATAGGGGATGTGGGAATGGTAATGATTATGTACCTGAATGAAAGTCCATCAGAGTCACTGCAAAAGTCAGGCCCTATATATCATTGTCATTGACTTATATATAATAACTTCTGTAAAAAAAAGTAATAAAGACTTAATATTAAAAATAACACACACAAAGAATTACCTTTCCCCATCTAACAGTTGTGTGCTAGAAATCCTTTTAATGAGATAAAACAACCTCACTTTTAGTAAGGTCAAGTTAAATTTTAACTGAAAAGAGAATGCCACAAAAATATCTGTTGCTAACCTAGGAATGTCTGAACATTAAGGCCCCTGAAATCTCCCCATGAGTACCTCAGGTATTTAATACCACAGTCAGCTGATACTTTTCATTGTGTTGCATGAGTTTACGCCAGCTTACTTTGGAGAGTGTAAATGGGTGTGCATATGAGAGAGAGACAAAGAGAAGGAATGAGCAAAATTTACAATGACCCAGTTTACCGAGAATGTTATTTGATATTGATCGCTTTTCATCTAATGGGGTTTGGTTTTTCTTTTTTTCAGCTCTGTGACAGCAATGCCTTCACCGTTCTAGGAGAAGTCCGCAAATGTGGCCTAACTGACACCGAGACATGCCTGAAAGGTGTAGCCATAAGCATAAGTGGAGGACAAACTGTATGTAGTAAAAACAAATACCCAACCTTTTGCCTGAATGTTTTTTAAATTGACAGTTATTGGGTAGGTAGGTGTGGGTGGGAAGGATGGGCTTAAACTGAAGACCAGAGAAAAACTTTAGTGATCTGTAGCTTGCAAAAAGTGTTTACCCATCACCAACTAGACTCACCACAACTACTGTTCCTGATGCAGTAGGAACTGTGTTCAGCCTTATGTTGTGTCCAGATGGAAAAATATTTGAACATGAATGGTCCTTGATCCCAAATCCTGTAGCAATGAACACACATATGTATTGTTTGTGGTAGATACCTGCACAAAAAAGAACAGTGCAGCTAGGAAGTCAGCATTGGTTTCTGTTCAAATAAGAAATAACCTTAATCAAGCAAAAAGAAACCGCAGTGCAAACAATGGAAGTCAAGACACTGGTAGTTCTCAGGCATTTACATTTTATACAGATTTTCTAAATAATTGCTAGTTATAACAATTATAGAAAATAGTATAGTAACAAAAAAAGTTGTGGTGAACAGTTGATTTTCACTATATCAAGCGTCCAGCTTTTTTCTTCGTCTTGTACAATACTAGATATGAAATATTTGGAAAGCGCTGAACAGTTCCTAAACCTGCTTGCCAATCACTGTCTTTTCCTTCTTGCCAGATCGTTGTGATCAAACCTTCTGGCAGCGTGTTTGTGAATACGATCTACACCCAGTTGCCCATCTCTGCAGGTATGTTCTTTTAAGAGACACCTGTGGCATTCGCAGACTTTGACTTGGCTAGCCTAGTGCTTTGCTTCTACTCTCAGTTACATTCTGAAGCCAGTTACCCTGCAGTAACCTCTTATTTTTAAAATAATTGTTTTTGCTCATTCAGCATTTTTGAGTTTGGAGATAATCGGATATTGTTACGTAACCATTAGAGAACTTCTTCTATTCATACATACATTATCACTCTGATATTTCCAGACCCAAGTAGTAGTGTAGGAGTAAATTTCTGATATACGCTGGGACCCAAAAACCAGGCCCTACAACTTACTGAGCCATTAAGTTGCCCTGTGTCTCTTCTGCCTGTTTTCATGAATATTGTTCATCATTAAAGACTTTCACTCTATCCAGACCTCCTTAGTTTCTTCCTCATATTTACAGGAAGTACAAATACTGTATGTGTATGGAGTATTTCCAGATTGGATCCTAGGACAAAATCATGTTAGGTATTTCTCACAGAGCCAAAGTCTGTTTGGACACACAAATTCATGTTCTTCTCCTTGTTCCAACGAAATTACCACACTGGAGGAGTGTTCTGCCCGCTTGCCGCCTAGAATAAATATAGACTAACTTTGTACCAGATTTTAGATCCAGTTTAAAGTAACGCTCCTTTTTTCTGCAAGTGACAGCTTCACACTACATGGAGCAGCAGCTTAGTATAAAGAGAATCTTTGCAAATAATGGACAGTTGTTGCAATTTTTGATCACATACGAAAATGTGTTTATTGTGTTCTTTGTCCGTAGCCAATGTTACCATCTTCAGGCCTTCATCATTCTTCATCATTGTACAAACAAACTTTGGGCTTCAGCTTGAGATCCAGCTCATACCCATCATGCAACTCTTTGTAAGCTTGGACCCATCCCACAAAGGGCAGACATGTGGTAAGTGGACTTATCTAACAAGTGTCTTTCCTACTGTGGAGAAGAGACTGACTTAACTTGAAAGTGTATTATGTGAGATGTTAGTATAAGTGTTAAGCCACATTGTTGGTTGGTTTATGTTGTTGGAAGAAGACCAAAAGAACATATGCCACTGAGTGCATGCAGACACAGAGGCTTGGACTCCTAGACAGAAGCACCACCCAGACTGCTTGTTTGGGTGGGAGACAGGTAGCAGGATCAGAGACAGTCAGAGAGTTAGACTGTGCTCAGGAAGGGAAGCACTGCTGAGCTTTTATAAGATTAAGATTTCTCTCTGGGAGTAAGAAGTAGAAGGGTCACTGAATGCTATTTTTACTTTTAGGTTATGTTTACTCTGATCAAATAAAAGTGTAGTGGTTTTTCAGATCCAGAAGTCAAAACATAGCCAATCTGTGGATTTTGAAGAGTTCTGCAGGGCCCCTGAAATAAAGATAGGAAAAGTAGCCAGGTTAGTCTGATATTCACAGGAAAGTGTCCTGAGAGAAAGCTTTCAGAGGTAAAAAGGTTGTACCAGCAACCCAGAGACATGGATCTTGAAAAAGGTACATAATCAGGAAGGAGGAGGTTGTGACCCCACTCACTGAAATTACCTTTGATCTTGTATGAGAGATTCAAACTCCTTCTGCTTCCCACTAAGGTCTTTGTGGAAACTTCAACAATATCCAGACAGATGACTTCAAAGCCACAAGCGGTGTAGTGGAAGGAACAGCAGCCGCCTTTGCCAATACCTGGAAAACCCAGGCTGATTGCCCTAATGTCAAAAACATCTTTGAGAACCCGTGTACCCTCAGCGTAGAAAATGGTATGTTCGTTAAAATAATATTTTTCTTCTACAATTAGAAGACCAAATACATCTGACAAAAATAGGTATCAGAAACAAATTCAGATTCTAAATTCCATGTTACGTTTAGATGATTTTAAAAATTAAATCATAGCAAAAGATTAGCTTGAAAAACAAGGCAATTATTTAACTGCAAGAAATATTAACAGGATGTTGTGACTCATTTTAACTAATCCAATCTTGCCCATCCACTTTCAGTCAGACGAGATTGAGGGTTTCTCTTCATAAATAATAATAATACTTAAGACTAATAGAGTATTTTAGAGCCTCACAATAGCCCTCTGAGTTAAGAAGTGAAGTGTTAAGATTCCCATTTTGCATATGGGGAAACTGAGGCACAGAAGAGGTTATCATTCCATCCTGTAAGATGCTGAGTGCTATCTAGAAGGTGTGGTGTGCTCAGAACTTTGCATGTTTGGACTGTATGTAACTTGCCCAGTGCTGCACAGTGAGTCATGAATCATACTTGGAATTCATTGGTTCACAGCTCTCAATCTTCTGTTCTAACCAATAAAGAACTTAAGTTTTTACAGTCCACAAGCCACTCTTTCTGCTGCTAATATGAATTGAGCCATTGGTAATCCACATTGAAAATCTTCTGTTTCAAAACACAAGTTCAAGTTTTTGCAGCTTAATAAAGGCAGCCATTGTGATTTAGCTTCAGTCAGTTTATGACACGTTCACATTTCTGTACAAAGAGAGTGGGCAGCTTTTTGTGTTTGAAGAAATACAGAGCCAAATTCTACTCTTTGTTATGCTTCTGCAACTCCGCTGAACACAACGGGGTTACGGTGATGTAACTGGGAAGAGAATTTAACCCATAAAGTGAAACATGAATTCCTTGCATTTTCTGTTTTTCCAGAAAAATACGCTCAGCACTGGTGCGGATTGCTGACTGACACTCAAGGACCTTTTGCTGAATGCCACTCAACAGTGAATCCAGATGTTTACCACACGGTACTTCACTAGTTATTTCTTTCGCCTTTATAATAGCACCAGTAAGAGTCTGATCCCTGATACCAAGTGCCAGGAGAAACACGTACTGAACAGGAGGACCTGGTTTAGACACCCAATTTGCTTCTGACAAGTTCATCAGGCTACAATAATGTTTAACTGTAATTTGATTTCATGTAATCTACTCCTTCTCTAAGTAGGCATTTTTCTTTACACTATCAGGAAGATAAGTTTACTTGTTTCACTTTGTATGTGACACTGCATTGATTGCAAATATCTGATATAAAGAATAAAACTATTTTTTCCTTAAATAAAAGGAGGAACATAAAAATACAGCTGCAGACATCTATTGTACTTCCTTGTAAAGGATTGCATCTTTTTTGCAGGTACTCAGGGTAATTTCCCTTGCAGGGAAGTAATCCAAATTTGTGTGTCTGAAACACTCTTAGATAACTATGACTGCAAAGAAAGAAATGCTTAGATTTTTATACAGATATAAATATACAGACATTAATGGGCCAAATTCTGCTGTCAATTACATTGATGAAAATCCAGAATAAACCCATTGACATACTTCAGATCTATACTGGGGAAAATCAGAGCACCATTTGGTCCATTACGTTGCAAAGTGAGTCCATCAAGGTAGAATTTGGCCCTATAATCCATTATAAGACTAAATAGAGCCAGTGATTTTGGCATGTGAATGCAAAAACTTCAAGGGAAATTTCTTTGGATGGGCAGTTCAGTGATTACTAACGAGTCTTATCTGTATTCCTAGAACTGTCTGTTTGACACCTGTAACTGTGAAAAGAGTGAGGATTGTATGTGTGCTGCCCTCTCTACCTATGTCAGAGCCTGTGCTGCCAAAGGAGTCCTGTTGAGCGGATGGAGGACCAATGTCTGCAGTAAGTTTTAAAACCATTCACTGGTTAAAAATGGTCAGCCAGTAGGACCTTTATACCAGTTTCCAAGAAATCCAGGGCTCTCCCAGTCAAATCTTAAACAAAAGTTTGATGGTGTTCTAGCACCCCTTATAGAATCTAAGGGGTATGAGTAACGGGGGATGTAATGAAAGATAAGTAGGAAGTTACCTAAAGAAGATGCTTCATGAGAATCATGCCTAAGCTGAATGAAAGTCCCAAGGAAATATCAGGGAGCATAAGGCTTTTACTGTGGTTTAATATAATTAGGATGCTTCCAGTTTTATTACTTTAATATACTGATGGTGGAAGGAAGAAGGAGGGTTAGGGTTAGGGTTTAAAAATAAACTGTACAAATCAATAGGAGTTAAATTCTCCTCTTGTTTAAACTGAAGGAACCTCATTGACAGCAATGGGGTTCTCTAGTGTACCCATCCGAGGTAGTAATTTGTGGGGTAAATTTTGTAGTACAAGTCCAAAAGCCATGTAAATTACATTAAAGTTGACCTCACTTCAGAATTTCATCCATTCCATTTTAATCTGTGGACACACAGGATCTGTTTTATCATACATAATATATCCAAAATCTGGCATTTATAGCCATCATTAAATAAGCTATGAATGTAATTTACTTTTTTTTACTCTCTCAAGCCATAACTTCATGCCCCAAATCCCTGACGTACAGCTATGTTGTCAATTCCTGCCAACCCACTTGCCGATCTTTGAGTGAGCCCGATGTCACATGCAACATCAAGTTCACTCCAGTTGATGGCTGCACCTGTGCAAATGGAACTTACATGGATGAAAATGGCAAATGCGTGCCCGCTACTAGCTGTCCTTGTTATTACAAAGGATCTGTGCTACCTTCTGGAGAGGTTGTTCACGACAATGGGGTCATATGGTAAGAGGTTCTTTAACAAAACACTGGGGCTGGACACTGGCAATCATGGATTCATATATATTTTATGGAGTCTAGTCAAGTCAAATGAGTTTCTCTCCCAGTTTAAGAATTTTCAGTGTGAAAATCACAATTATTCATGAATTTTTAGGATTGTCTTTGTTTAGAAGTCTTTCTTTAATCCAGTCAACTAACTCAATTAGCCATATTTTCTCCCTGAATTTAAAAGGTTAAAAAAGTCTACCAGTTTGATATTCCCTGTACTTAAAATGAAGAATGCTGGTGAAACGAATAATATTATGGAAGAAACATTTTAAGTGTAATAATCTATGTAGACAAACTGACTGGGTGGCATTGTCTTAGCATAAGGCACAAGCTTGTTTTCTGGACAGTTATAGCAGAAATGATATGCAAACAATGTACACCATTCTGCTGAAAAGACACTTTCTATCTCTGGCCACAAGGTGGCATTTCAGTATCCCAGATTCCATAGGAAAGACAGGATGTATGGCAAGATAGAAGCAGCTCTCCATGTAACTAACTATGATTTGAAGCAAACATAATTTCTCTCTCTTTCTCACAGCTCTTGCATACATGGAAAGCTGGACTGCGTTAGAGTGAAACCACAACCAGGTATAACCCCTTTAAAGCTTTATTTTAATTCCCTCCCACACTTCTGAGTGAACTCTGTTTTATTACAATGATGAAGATAGCAAACATCTGAAACCCAGCAGGGAAATTAACCCATCAGAAACTATTTGCATAGCAGTTTTGTAGTATTGAGGATATAATTCTCGAAATGCAAAGTTCCATTCTTTGTATTGTGGCATAGTGGAAACAAAATATGACAAGAACTAAAGGATCTAATTCACAGCAAGATAAGATCTGGTCGCAGTTTTACATATAAAACAGAAAATTGCCCTAGGGAGTACATAAGAACCACTGAATTTCCTAAAAATAAAAAATTACTGGAAGCTTGATAAATATAGGGTGAGGGGTGTGCTTTATGAATTGTTCTCCAAAAGGCAAATTTCCATGAGACTTCTTAAAAATGAAAGTCAGCAAAAGGAAGCAAAAAATAAATAAAAATAATACAGCTGTTAATATAGTTACAAGAATCAGTTTCTTTTTTCAACAAAGAAATGATGGTTGGATGTATTTCTTAACAACTGAAAGGTGGTTCAAAGCACTTATCACAGATTTCAGTGTGTATTAGGTAAAACCCAATAGTATAACATACCACAGACTCCATTCTCCATACAGCAGAAGAAAAAACATTAAGATCCAAATATTGCTCCTGTGCCAATGGCAATTTTTGTAATGACATTCACAGCCAGGGCTCTGGCCATACTTCTGGTTCAGATGTTTAATCCTACAGCTATCATCAGGTGCTTATCCAAGACGTGGCACCCAATCCTGCAGTCGCTACTCAAACAAAAATCTCCCACTGGTGTCAGTGGGAGTTTTAACTGAATCAAGACTGCAGGATTTGGCTATAATTACCATATCTGTGCTTGCAGAGGGGGTAATTAAACATGCAGATGACCAGTTCTGTAACTAACTGGCCATTTGTGCATGCTGTTACATTGCACATGAAAGCTATGCATATGCTATTCTAAAATGCAAAGTAATGTGTGAATTAGTTGCAATTTTTTTTTCTAACTATAATTCCAAGCTTACAACCAAAAGCAATGAACTCCTATATCTGAGGTTATTTATAATTCTAAACAAAGCCTTATGCCAGCTATATGGCTAAATGATTTCAGGAGAGAGATAAAACGCGTGACAGAGCAAATCAAGGTTATTTACCAGTAACTGGAGCGTTCCAACTAGATTGTGTTCCTTGGTTTAACTCTAAAATCAGGGCTCTTTGGAGGCATATTCATAACAAATAATTACTGTAGCAATAACTGATAACTCTGTGTTTGATCCCAAAATGTCTTATGACTTTTGTCTCCTACAGTCTGTGCAGCTCCCATGGTCTACTTTGACTGCAGCAATGTCACTGCGGGCACAATTGGATCCGAGTGCCAGAAGAGCTGTCAGACGCTTGACATGGGCTGCGTAAGTGCCAATTCCTTATGCCCACTTGAAAACATTTTCACATCCTGACCAAAATTAAATCTCTCACACTCTGTACTGTTGTAGTTGAATGTTTCTTTCCCACTGACATGATTTATCAAATGATGTTTTCTCTGTGGTTCTTACAGTACAGCACACAATGTGTCTCTGGCTGCGTGTGCCCTAATGATCTCGTGTCTGATGGCAAAGGTGGCTGTGTAGCTGTGGGGAACTGTCCATGTGTTCACAATGAGGCCTCTTACAATCCAGGAGAAACAATCAAAGTCAACTGTAACACATGGTAGGTATATGTTGAATAATTATGGTTTTCACAGTCCTAAAGGGGGATGGGTACATGTCCATGCCACTTAAACTTGAGAAGAATCTCATTTTGCTGTAGCAGAATTAAGACTTATAGCACACACTTGAATGGGGCTCATATTCCATGCAACAGAAGGTGATGTTAGATATACACATAGCCTGTTTTCTAGAATGTGGTTGGCAATGGGATCCTTCACTGCAAGAGGGTTAGTAGTTAGTTCAGCATTGGTATCTAATGTTAAAATCTAATATTCAGCATAAAAAAAAACCAGGCTCTCCTCATTCTTTTCAAAGCCAAACAAGAATAGTTAGGAAATGATGAGGACAACGGTGGGCTTTATATCCCCTCATCTCCATTAGAGACGCACGGGAAAACTTTATGCCTGCTCACTCTACATGCAGTCCCTCAGTGGTGCATACATCTCAAAAAATTCTAAGGGGTTTTGAAATCCAAAAGGTTTTTAAATCATATTGCCCATTTAATCAGAAAATAAATTTATCTTTGAGAATTAATGGGGTCTATGTCCTGTTGGCCCAGAGCTACTATACATTACCGTTTAACATTAGTGAGCACTATTTCCCAGGATCATCGGTTTAATGTATTTTGGGGATAAACAAATTTGGAATCAAATTTACATCTGGCTATATAAGGAGAAATGAATATGTTAAAGTATTTTTGTTACAATTGACCTTTTTTCTCCCGCCTAGCACTTGTAAAAACAGAATGTGGCAATGCACCAATGAATCTTGCCTGGCAACCTGCTCAGTTTATGGAGATGGTCATTACATTACTTTTGATGGCAAACGCTTCGGCTTTAGTGGAGACTGCGAATACACACTGGTCCAGGTACTGAGCTTCTTTCCTGGGATTATTACACCACTAAAAGTATCTTGTGTTCCTACATGTGGTGACCTTACATCACTAACTTTAACTATCACTCCTGTTCTCAGGATTACTGTGGTAAAAACAGTACCAGCCTTGGAACCTTCCGAGTTATCACTGAGAACATCCCCTGTGGAACCACTGGGACCACCTGCTCAAAGGCCATTAAAGTCTTCCTACGGGTGAGTAGCTTCTTTGATAAACTGTGGGAAAGAACATGTGTATCTGGTCTCTGACATGACTAAGATGCACAATGGACTGTCCAAGGTAGATCTCACTGTAAAAATATCCAATCAGACAGCATAACCTTTCCTAGACATCCAAACTTGCTGCCAGCAATTGCGCTATATTTTAGGGAAAAATGCTATAGAATAATTCAGACAGTTATGGATATGTTAAATCTGTTGGCTTTTTAACTGGCTTTTCTTCCTATTTCAGAACTATGAACTGGTACTCAGTGATGGAAAGTTTGAAGTGATAGAGAAGGTCCGTGGAGGGGAAGTGCCATACAAGGTCCGTTACATGGGCATCTACATGGTGATTGACACTGACACTGGGCTGATTCTCATGTGGGATAAGAAAACCAGCATATTCATCAAGCTCAGCCCAGATTTTAAGGTGAGTTTTAGAAGCTGTATGACTGGGATCAACTCCTATGGATACACTTTAGTGTTACCTCTTGAAGGAGAAAATGGAAGTGCAGTGAAACATAAGTAAGACTTTGACTGCAAGACCGAATGAACTCCTATTGCATATTTTCAATCTTTCAGTGGTGTCTCAAAATAGATCCTTTAGAGTGACAGACCGTAGTGGGGTGATAGGTTGCTTCTGAGTACATCATTCATGTACACAAATTACATAATGATTTCATAACTAACTAGTAGCAGAACACTCATTAAAGGTCATTACTAATAAGGTAGGTTCACAATTAAATAAAACTAGTTAGGATTTTAAAAAAAAAAAAAGAATTAAGAACAAAATTATGTGTCTATTTTACTTCTTTCTTCAGACAAGATTCAGTACAATAAAAAAAAGGGTAAGTTTTTCGGTAAAGGTATCTGCGGGGAAAAGTGTGAGGCTGTCACTGAAGAGCCAAAGTCTACATTAAATCTGAAAAGTCAGAGTTTCAGTTAATCACAGACACTGGCAAACACATTTTATTAGCACTCATCAGTTTGTTTGTTTCTCTATGCAGGGTCAGGTCTGTGGCCTGTGTGGGAACTACGATGGCAATGGCATTAATGACTTTACCACCAGAAGTCAGTCTGTGGTAGGAGATGTGCTGGAGTTTGGAAACAGCTGGAAGGTTTCTCCGACTTGCCCAGATGCCAAGAGCAACAAGGATCCTTGCACTGCAAACCCTTACAGGAACTCCTGGGCCCAGAAGCAGTGCAGTATAATCAACAGCAAAGTATTTGCTGCCTGTCACTCTCAGGTATAGCAAATCCTTATGTGGAATCCTTCTAAGCAGGAATTATAATATATACAGAATACCTTAGTGATGCACATTGCGTTGCCATTCCCTGCAGTAAACATAAGGATGCTCTACCTGTTTTTTAATATATATGTACATTTGATTGTGGAAGAAGCATCATGGGCTTGATCCGGTTCCACACTGAAGTCAATGGAAAGATTTGACTTCAATGGGAGCTGGATCAGGTCCTTTAAGACCAAACTGGACTCATAGCTAATTCCAGGAGAACTATGCAGAAATTTCACTGAGATTCATTTTCTTTTTTTGCCAAGTCACCTGGTACATCAAAGAAGTATGTGACACTTGCACAGACGTCATCAGATCACCCTTTTTATATGGGACAATCACAGGATGTGTTATTCTGTCCAGCAGGATTAGCTTCTGATAATACCTTTAATTGATAACAGGATGATTGTTGTGATAGGATGTACTAATCTAATTATATTTTTTCAATTAATTTGTAATGTCCCACAGCTGTTAGGGTAGTCACTTCTCTTACGATTACTAATGCGAGGCGTGTCCTAAACTTGATGTCTTCACTTGACTTTATAAAAAAAATATTCTTGTAATTTTCCCCCCAACTTAGACTCTTTTTTCCAAAAATCATAGTTTATTCTGCATGTAGTTCCATTGCTACAGGGAATGATGTTACAAGAGGAAAAGAAAAGAAAGGCATCCATTTACAAACATTTGACTGAAATTTTAGGAGGAGAGGGAATTGCTATTGCAAAGCAAGATGACAAGTGCAAGGAACAAAAATTAAATGTCATGTATTCTAACAGGTTGAACCAAACGAATATTATGAAGCATGCGTGACTGATGCTTGTGCCTGTGACACTGGGGGAGATTGTGAATGTTTCTGTACAGCGGTAGCTTCATATGCTCAAGCATGTAATGAGGCTGGCATTTGTGTTGCATGGAGAACACCATCTATCTGTCGTGAGTATTACAACATAACTTCATGGAGGGAGAGGGAGAAAAAGAAATAAAGAATGAGAAGGAAAAAAAACATACGAAGAAATGAAGAGGAGTAAAGTACTGTTCCTGAGATGCACTACCATCTGGAAAATAGTAAAATAGCCCAAAGCAAACAGCAAATTATCAATAGAACTATCTACAAAACTTCCTTTTCCAATCTCTCTCCAATTGTAGATATGATTGAAATAAAACTGTGCCCTAGTGATTGTATTAGTTGTTAAATTACTGTATTATCTAGTTACAGATTGTGATATACCACTGCCATCCTAGTAAGTTTTATATATATATACACATACACACACACACAGAGCTGTTATCTGTCACAGTGTAAGTAAATAGCAATGCATAGTAGCAGCTGAAAAATTTATGTTCCAGTTAATTGAATTTTATGCTTTCTGTCAGTGTCTTGTAGAGGCTTTGAAACATCACTGTACTCAATACAACTGTAGAAGTAAGATAATCATATTGAATTAGAAACAGGATAACTACTGTTCACTACTTGCAGAATTATGCTAGCATTATGGGATTTGTACACAGCATATGGATAGCTAAGAGGCACTTTGGAAACATTTTGTTACATGTATATTTTCATCCATTTTGCCCTCTTCCAGCTCTGTTCTGTGATTACTACAACCCGCAGGGGGAATGTGAGTGGCACTACAAGCCTTGTGGGTCCCCTTGTATGAAGACCTGCAGGAACCCAAGTGGAAAATGCCTTCATGAGTTACAAGGCTTGGAAGGTAAAATACATTAACTATATCTCACCCTACTTATAAAACCTAATTACTGATGGTGAACTAAAATTCCTACTTCTCAATATATTTAATATTTTTATTAGAAAGTACAAGCCAGGTTAGTGATTATGGAGTTTTCTGAATTGTGTGTAATTCTCTAAAGGGGTCATGATCTTCTTTGGGATTAAAATCCAAATTATTGTATTTGAACTCTGAGAGAAATTTGTGCTATGGCAGCAATATCATCATGTCACTAAGGGTGACATTCCACCCCTCAACAAGAAATCAATGCAGACTTTAGATAGTTGTCTAGAGACACCCGCAGTGTAAGAGATCCAGTGTCAATATAACTTTCTTTGTTACTGCAGGCTGCTATCCAAAGTGTCCAGAGGACAAGCCCTATTTCGATGAAGATGATATGGAGTGTGTTGATCACTGTGGCTGTTATGATGCCAAGGGAAAATATTACAAGCCAGGAACACCCATTCGTTCAGAAGAGAACTGTCAATCATGGTAAGCTTAGCTGTATGAGGATTTTAGGAGGATCCGAACATAATGTACTGGCCATTAAACTCCATGGTTTGCTAACAGGAATTGGTCTTGTACCTACTGTGCATAAATTACTATTGAATACATAAACACTTTTATTTCTGGGACTGGGAAGGGAAAGGATCATGATCTGAAATTCTTTCCTTTGGAGTGATTTGCTTGAAGCATATTTCTCTGTTTTATTGCGCATTGTGTATTATCCTAAAAAAGACAACCTTCTTTGTACTTCATTTAGGAAACAAATTGACAAGGTATTACTGAAATCATTATCTAAAATTGCTCTATAGCTTAATTCTGTTCATTTGCTTTTGCTATTGTCTTGGCATGTATCTGTCTAGGAGAGTTCTTCAGTATTTTTATATGTTTTATTTTTTGTAACTGATTTCTTCCTTACATAGATATTTACTTAGGGACATATTCTGATATGCTTCTCATGCTGAATAGCAATTTACTCCACAAAGTCAATAGGACTACTTGCAGAGTACAGTGTTAGTCAGTGTGAACAAAGGTACCAGAATCTAGCCCTTAATTAGTAAGTGAGAAATCCCTATCTTTGTGCACAGCCTGAGTAAACAGACTGTGTTCTCACAGGGGCATACCATCAAGGTCTGAGGAGAGGGAATCCTCCTCACTAGGCTACAGAGCAGTTAAAGAGATTCTCTGGCAGCTATTTCAACCTAAGAGCAACAGTAATTCCGCCACCACCATCCTTGCTGCACTTGCCCTCCACTGCGGGGAAGTGGTCAGTGGAGCTCTTCCTGCTGCCTCCAAAATCTTCTTCTGTGGCATCATGGAAGGGATGCAGTGGAGAGTATTGTTAATAGGCACAGATGGTGTTACAAATCCTGTCTGCAGATTGAAAGAAGCCTGCCCACCCTGCCTTTCTGCAGCAGAACTGTACCGGTGTGAGAGCTCAGGGCCCTCCTATCACAGGATGGATGAGAACATGACTTGGAGAAAGATTAGGTCTTTTCGAGCTTACCCACACAACTTTTCTCCATGAACTTCATTTTGTTCCTTGGGATATAAATGCAACAGAAACAGTTAAAACAGTAAAATGTATGTGGTTATCCTTTATGCATCTTCAGTCCCATATTTTTTTTCTCTTTTCCACCCACAGTGAATGCACAATGAATGGCATTAAGTGTGAATATGATGAAGATGGTATGTTGACACAGCAGCTTTTATCTGAACATGAACTTTTTGGAACAATCTATTCCATATTACAGGAAATCTAATGATGATATTCTCTTTTGATTTACAGACTGCTACTGCACATATGATGGAAAGCAATATGAGTATGAGGATGTCATCTACAACACTACAGATGGTATTGGCGGATGTATCATTGCAACTTGTGGTCACAATGGAACAATTGATAGAAAAGTCTATGCATGTTCTACACCCTTAACCACAACACCGTTTGTATTTTCCTCTTCAACACCTATATCCACCACAACAGGTATATTTTGAATGAATACATGCGCTCACTGTACTCTTACTTGCTGTTGATTGACATTTACCTACCAAGCCATGCCTATAACTCTAATGAATGGATCAGAAACTCAAAAACTAATAAGACCTATTTTTATTTGCATTTTGTGTATTTTATATAGTTTTGATTATAGCTAGAAAACAAATTGAAACATGAAAATATAGAAAATAAAACCACTGTGCATGGTTTTGATATTATCTTTGCTCAAATTCAGACAGATTCATTAGAAAACAATCCCATGGGTATTTTATAAACTGTTATGGCAACTGATTCTATACCACTCTTGTTAAAACTGCTATATAGAAAATTTCCACAGATAGTAATCGGCACAGTCATAGAATCATTCCCTATTATTCATTTATTAAATTGCAGAATGACTAATTTCTCCTAAAATCCCTGTCAGTATCACAGTATTTTGAAAATGTGGTTAGTAAATGGATTGCTCAGACCGAGATACTATGCTTTTCACCTCTAGATCTCTGGTTCAATCTGTCCCAGATTGGTAATGGCTGAAAGTCATGACCATCTGATGGTTGTTTGGTAGCACACGTGAGATTAGTTAGTCATTTTATTATAGTTCTTAGTGCTACATCACAGAAACTGTCACCATAGTTGACATTAACTGGCAACTTTTCAGAAGTTTCAGAGAGGCCTGCATTGAATCAGCAAGGAGCATGAACTACTCTCTCCACCCAAGAGATGGTCCTTTACAAACAGACTTGAAGCACATTAGGACAGCATAAGGAAACTTATACCCCTGATTCAACCCTGCAGTAATTGTTCTATGAATAAATAGAGAGGAGTGCAGGCAATGTGACATGTTCATGAGCAGTAAATTTATATAACAAATAAATTATGTGCATATGTGGCCTACTCCAAAGCCCACTGAATTCAATTATGTCTTTCCATAGCTTCAGTGGGCTTTGGATCGGGACCTTAATGTTCATGAGAAAGTGCAAACATGCTGCGCAAAATGGAAAATGTTATGCAAAGATGTTTTTTCCCAAGTGTGCAAATTATGCATGTGTAAGTCAGGCAACTATTTTTGAAATTTTGGTCATTACTCTTTTTCCTAGCACATCACAAGAAATAATGGACATGCCCTTGGAAGTGATAAATCCAGGCATACCAACAAATTCATATGTTGTGCTTATTTTCACTATTTGAATGGATATTCATTATAATTAACTAGCCTAATAAATGGATATATTTTTGAGCTGAGTATACTAGCTCATGCCCTTTGGCCAGTGCCTAGACAAGCCCATCTTCCTACAGATAGTAGACATCACACTCAGTCTATTTGGTATAACAGAAAAGAGAATATTTGCTGGAACTTCTTGGTATTCTTCATTTAAAATTGAAGGTTGAGTACTAAATTTTCATTATTTTTGGTTTTTAACTACAGTGACACCGACTACACCAGTCTGCGTTCGTGAAGTATGTCAGTGGTCACAATGGTATGATGTGAGCCATCCAGGGCCTGGGATCAACGATGGAGATTTTGACACTTTTGATAACTTAAGAGACAAAGGTTATAAAGTTTGCAAAGCTCCAAAGGCTGTTGAATGCAGAGCTGAAAAATTCCCAAACACACCATTAAATGAACTAGAGCAAAAAGTAGAATGTAGTACAACAACGGGACTAATATGTTATAATAAGGATCAGCATCAAAAGATCTGTGACAACTTCCAGATAAAAATCTTATGCTGTAGCTTTGTACCATGTGATTATACATCTCCTGCCACCACAGCGCCTGAGGAGACTACAACACCCATCTCAAAAACGACCACTCCAGAAACTACTGTAACCAGTATATCTTCAACAACTACAGCACTACCTACCAGCACAGAACCTAAAACAACTATTCTTTCCACAAGTACCATGACCTCCAAAACTCCTTCCACAACTCCAGTCACAGAAACAGCGAGTGTGTCCACTTCAACTCTTAGAACCACAGCTCCAACAACAACAATCCCTGAAACAACTTCTAGCCCTTCAACAGAAACTGTATATACTACAGGGGAAATCACCTCCATAACACCTTGTAAACCAAAATGCAAATGGTCTGAATGGCATGATGTCCATTTTCCCAGTCTGGACAATAAAGGAGATTCTGAAACATATGATGATATTAGAGCAGCAGGAAAAGTGATCTGCAGCAAACCTGAAAATATAGAATGTCGAGCTGAGAAATTCCCAGAAAAATCAATTGATAACATTGGCCAAACTGTCCAGTGCAATGTATCCTTTGGACTTGTCTGCAGAAATGAAGATCAGGAAGGAGTGCTCCAAATGTGCTATAACTATCAAATAAAAGTATTCTGCTGTGATGATTTTAGTCATTGCCCATCCACAACTACAGAAACTACAACAACTGCAGGCACAACTATTGTTTCAACGGAAACTTCCACCCAGACTCCTACAACTACAGAAACTACAACTTCAACAGTAAGAACTACACCTTCAACCGCCACCACAACAGAAACCACAACCAAAGAAGTTACAACAGCTACTCCTTTAACAACCACCCCTGTAGAAACTACAACAATCATAACTATACCTTTCACTACCACAACCACAGAAACGACAACTACTCTAGGCACACCCATTGTTTCAACAGAAACGTCCACACTGACTTCTACAACTACAGAAACTACATCAACAGTAGGAACTACACATTCATCCACCACCAGCATAGAAACTACAACAATCACAACTACACCTTTCACTACCACAACCACACCAACTACAACAACCTCAGGTACTACAACCATGACAACCCCTCACACTACTACTACAATACCAACCACTACGCCAATAACCTCAACACCAATTCCAGACACTTTTACAACTACAACTACTTCACCAACCACTACTCAAACCACCACCACAGAATTTACCACAATAGTAAGTACAACCACTACACCAACAACCACTGAAACTACCACAGCTGCAACTACTACACCTATTTCAACAACAAAACCTACATCATCAATAACAGTAACTACTCCAGCAATAACCACAGTCTCAGAAACTACAACAGCTGTGACAACTGTTCCTATAACAACTCCTGGTTGTTTTAAAGAACTATGTGAATGGTCACAATGGTATGATGTAAGTTACCCAGGGTCTGCTATCAATGATGGAGATTTCGATACATTTAAGAATATAAGAGCCAAAGGATACAAAGTATGCAAAGCTCCAAAGGCTGTGGAATGCAGAGCAGAAAGATTCCCTAACACAGCATTAAATGAGCTGGAGCAAAATGTAATATGCAGCAAAACAGAAGGGCTGATATGTTATAACAAGGATCAACTTCCACCAATCTGCTATAATTACCAGATCAAAATTCAGTGTTGCCAAAATGTAAATGTACCATGCCCAACCACTACAACGACAGTAACAACCATCCCAACGACTACCCGAATAGTAACAACCACCCCAGCCACTACCCCAATTGTAACAACCACCCCAGCCACTACAACAATACTAACAACCACCACCACAATACTAACAACCACCCCAACCATTACCCCCATAGGAACAACCACCCCAGCCACTACTCCAAGAGAAACAACCACCACAACAATACTAACAACCACTCCAACCATTACCCCAATAGGAACAACCACCCCAGCCACTACTCCAAGAGTAACAACCACCCCAGCCACTACTCCAAGAGTAACAACCACCACAACAATACTAACAACCACCCCAACCATTACCCCAATAGGAACAACCACCCCAGCCACTACTGCAATACAAACAACCACCCCAGCTACAACCCAAATAGAAACAACCACCCCAGCAACTACAACACCAGTAACAACCACTCCAGCCACTACAACAGTGAAAACCACCCCAGCTACTACCCGAATAGAAACAACCACCCCAGCAACTACTCCAATAGTAAAAACCAGCCCAGCCACTACAACACCAGTAACAACCACTCCAGCCACCTCAACAGTGAAAACCACCCCACCAAGTACCCGAACAGAAACAACCACCCCAGCAACTACTCCAATAGTAAAAACCACCCCAGCCACGACAAAGACAGTAACAACAAGGACGACAGCAATAACACACCACATTATTACCCATATAAAAACAACAAAACCACCTCAAACAGGACCTATACATCAAGAAACGACTAAAGCAATGCACAGTACAACTAAAGAAACCACACTGGTGAGTAAAACAACACCAGAAAGAACTCCAGTCACAACAACATCAACAATCTCCACAACACTGCCAACTACCACAATTGTAGAAACCACCACTAGTGAAACAACCCAAAGCACAACGACAATTGGTACCACCTCTCTACCTACCACAGAAATCCCCACAACATCGCCAAGACCCACAACTTCACAAACATCTATTTCCTCAACTACAACGTGTCAGCCAACGTGCACATGGTCCAAATGGTTTGATGTTGATTTTCCCTCTTCTGGACCTAAAGAAGGAGACATTGAAACCTACAACAACATAAGGGCAGCAGGAGAGAAAATCTGCAGAAAGCCTGAAAATATTGAGTGTAGGGCAGAACATTACCCGGACATAAGCATCGACCAGATCGGTCAAGTTGTGCAGTGCGATGTCAATTTCGGGCTGGTGTGCAAAAATGAGGATCAAATTGGGAAATTTAAAATGTGTGTCAATTACGAGGTACGTGTTTTCTGCTGTGAAGAAAACCCTAACTGCCCAACCACAACCAGAAGTATCGCGACCACAACTACACGTACGCCAACAACTACACTCAAAGAAACCACCAGTGAAGTCACAACTTCGCCTAAACCACCAGTCACAGAAACACCAGGAACTACCACTTCTGAAACAACTCCAGTCACTACACCTAAAAGTACAACCAGAAGCACAACGGGCACCACTACTCTGCCTCCCAAAGAAACCACCACAACATCAGCAATCTCCACAACACTGCCAACTACCACAATTGTAGAAACCACCACTAGTGAAACAACCCAAAGTACAACGACAATTGGTACCACCTCTCTACCTACCACAGAAATCCCCACAACATCACCAAGACCCACAACTTCACAAACATCTATTTCCTCAACTACAACGTGTCAGCCAACGTGCACGTGGTCCAAATGGTTTGATGTTGATTTTCCCTCTTCTGGACCTAAAGAAGGAGACATTGAAACCTATAACAACATAAGGGCAGCAGGAGAGAAAATCTGCAGAAAGCCTGAAAATATTGAGTGTAGGGCAGAACATTACCCGGACATAAGCATCGACCAGATCGGTCAAGTTGTGCAGTGCGATGTCAATTTTGGGCTGGTGTGCAAAAATGAGGATCAAATTGGGAAATTTAAAATGTGTTTCAATTACGAGGTACGTGTTTTCTGCTGTGAAGAAAACCCTAACTGCCCAACCACAACCAGAAGTATCGCGACCACAACTACACGTACGCCAACAACTACACTCAAAGAAACCACCAGTGAAGTCACAACTTCGCCTAAACCACCAGTCACAAAAACACCAGGAACTACCACTTCTGAAACAACTCCAGTCACTACACCTAAAAGTACAACCAGAAGCACAACGGGCACCACTACTCTGCCTCCCAAAGAAACCACCACAACATCAGCAATCTCCACAACACTGCCAACTACCACAATTGTAGAAACCACCACTAGTGAAACAACCCAAAGTACAATGACAACTGGTACCACCTCTCTACCTACCACAGAAATCCCCACAACATCGCCAAGACCCACAACTTCACAAACATCTATTTCCTCAACTACAACGTGTCAGCCAACGTGCACATGGTCCAAATGGTTTGATGTTGATTTTCCCTCTTCTGGACCTAAAGAAGGAGACATTGAAACCTATAACAACATAAGGGCAGCAGGAGGGATAATCTGCAGAAAGCCCGAAAATATTGAGTGTAGGGCAGAACATTACCCAGACATAAGCATCGACCAGATCGGTCAAGTTGTGCAGTGCGATGTCAATTTCGGGCTGGTGTGCAAAAATGAGGATCAAATTGGGAAATTTAAAATGTGTGTCAATTACGAGGTACGTGTTTTCTGCTGTGAAGAAAACCCTAACTGCCCAACCACAACCAGAAGTATCGCGACCACAACTACACGTACGCCAACAACTACACTCAAAGAAACCACCAGTGAAGTCACAACTTCGCCTAAACCACCAGTCACAGAAACACCAGGAACTACCACTTCTGAAACAACTCCAATCACTACACCTAAAAGTACAACCAGAAGCACAACGGGCACCACTACTCTGCCTCCCAAAGAAACCACCACAACATCAGCAATCTCCACAACACTGCCAACTACCACAATTGTAGAAACCACCACTAGTGAAACAACCCAAAGTACAACGACAATTGGTACCACCTCTCTACCTACCACAGAAATCCCCACAACATCGCCAAGACCCACAACTTCACAAACATCTATTTCCTCAACTACAACGTGTCAGCCCACGTGCACATGGTCCAAATGGTTTGATGTTGATTTTCCCTCTTCTGGACCTAAAGAAGGAGACATTGAAACCTATAACAACATAAGGGCAGCAGGAGGGATAATCTGCAGAAAGCCCGAAAATATTGAGTGTAGGGCAGAACATTACCCGGACATAAGCATCGACCAGATCGGTCAAGTTGTGCAGTGCGATGTCAATTTTGGGCTGGTGTGCAAAAATGAGGATCAAATTGGGAAATTTAAAATGTGTTTCAATTACGAGGTACGTGTTTTCTGCTGTGAAGAAAACCCTAACTGCCCAACCACAACCAGAAGTATCGCGACCACAACTACACGTACGCCAACAACTACACTCAAAGAAACCACCAGTGAAGTCACAACTTCGCCTAAACCACCAGTCACAGAAACACCAGGAACTACCACTTCTGAAACAACTCCAATCACTACACCTAAAAGTACAACCAGAAGCACAACGGGCACCACTACTCTGCCTCCCAAAGAAACCACCACAACATCAGCAATCTCCACAACACTGCCAACTACCACAATTGTAGAAACCACCACTAGTGAAACAACCCAAAGTACAACGACAATTGGTACCACCTCTCTACCTACCACAGAAATCCCCACAACATCGCCAAGACCCACAACTTCACAAACATCTATTTCCTCAACTACAACGTGTCAGCCAACGTGCACATGGTCCAAATGGTTTGATGTTGATTTTCCCTCTTCTGGACCTAAAGAAGGAGACATTGAAACCTATAACAACATAAAGGCAGCAGGAGAGAAAATCTGCAGAAAGCCTGAAAATATTGAGTGTAGGGCAGAACATTACCCGGACATAAGCATCGACCAGATCGGTCAAGTTGTGCAGTGTGATGTCAATTTCGGGCTGGTGTGCAAAAATGAGGATCAAATTGGGAAATTTAAAATGTGTTTCAATTACGAGGTACGTGTTTTGTGCTGTGAAGAAAATGTAAATTGTCCTGTTACAACCTCAGTTTTGTCAACAACGCCCACACGAGTAACCACTCCAACTGTCTCAAGTACACAAACAGGAACAACAGAAGGAACCATGACAACTACTCACTGCTTTTGCCAAATTGAGGATGCTGTTTTTGCACCTGGTAAGTCTTTTACAATCCATGAGAATATATTTAAAATAGATTTTTATATCATGTTTGAGTGGGTATTTTAATTAAAGTACAGATTAGAATTTTCTAATTATATGAAAATTTTACATAGTCACATTTAACTAATGCAGTTTTTTCAATCATTATTTTATGTTTTTTCTTTGTATATTGTATTTTATAGGTGAAATTATTTACAACAGAACAGACAAGGATGGATGTAATTTTTATGCCATTTGTAGTAAAACATGTTCAGTGGAGCGATTTAAGGGACCATGTAGCTCAACAACTCCAGCAACAACAAATACGCCAACAACTTCAACATCTAAACCAACTACGACTCCCACTACAACAGTTAGTTCAACCACTAAAATTGAGTGTCCTGATGCTAAACCTCCCAGAAAGGTATTGATCTCTTATGATCTTGTTCAGGCTTGAAATTACTTTTAATAATAATGGGGCTCGCAGGAAAGAACATTATAAATTATTTGAAACTGAAAGACCACATATGTTTTTAAAATAATTCTTGTGGTAGATAATGTGCCCCCGTTTGTGCAAAATTGGTATAAACTCTTGTAGGACAGCCTGGGTATTACATGTTAATTTGTGCAACCTGGTATCTGCAAATTGCAAAGAGAATTAATCTTCCAAAATATTTTATTGTAACTGAAGTGGATAGCTCTTTATTCTCTCCATTCTGTAATGGCCAGTCTTGCCTCTTCTGTACACTGGAGTAGGGGATGGGGATGCCTCTTACTCCTGGGGTATATTAGCTCTACACTGGACTGATAATTCTTCAGTATACTCAAGATAGTGTGGAAAACTGTTTCTGGGTCTACTTTACACTGTAACCCACAGAGAAGCTTAGGGTGTGCTAATAGGTGACCAGGTGTCCAGTTTTCAACCGGAACACCCAGTTGAAAAGGGATCCTGGCAGCTTTGGTCAGCATCACCGACCAGGCCATTAAAAGTCTGGTCTGCGGTGCTGCGGAGCTAAGGCAGGCTAGTCCCTAGCTGTCCTGGCTCTGTGCTGCACCCTGGAGATGGCCAGCAGGTCCGGCTCCTGGGCAGACGGGGGCATAGGGTTCCACTCACTGCCTCCACCCCGAGCACTAACTCCACACTCCCATTGGCCGGGAACTGTGGCCAATGGGAGCTGCAGGCAAGAACAGCATGCAGAAATGCCTGCCGCGCCTCCGCCTAGGAGCCGGACCTGCTGGCTACTTCTGGGGCGCAGCACAGAGTCAGGACAGGCAGGAAGCCTGTCTTTGTCGTCGTCGTCGTCGTCCCCCCCCCCCCGCTGTGCCACTGACCGGGACTGCCGGAGGTAAGCCTGCGCCGCAGCCCCAAACCACTGCCCCCCTGACCCCCCCCCAAACCCAGAGCCCCCACCTGCTCCCCAAAACCCTCATCCCCAGCCCCACCCCAGAGCCCACACCCCCAGACCGAGCCCTCATCCCCTCCCACATCACAACCCCTTGCCTCAACCCACAGCCCCCTCCGGCACCCTGAACCCCTCATCCCCAGCTCTACCCCAGACCCTGCACCTGCAGACGGAGCCCTCATCCCTGTGCCTTGACCAACATCCCTTTGCATAACCCAAGCTCTCACTCTTTCTCATGAAGATCTTTGGGCGGTAGTATCATACATGTTGCAAGGGCAAGGGGGCAATATGATTTCTCTGGGTTAAAACACACCTTCAAAATTACCTCTGCAGCCTTAGTATATGTGGGAATTTAGGGGGATGTCACTTCTCCCCGCTCTGATCATCATTAGGGAGAGATCTCTCATGCTGACATGGGTTGCTCCTCTCCTGACTGAGGTATAAAGCAGTGGAGCTCTCCAGGCTTTGTTGCTCAATTAAAGTTCACACTGGCTGAGTCGCAACAGAATCTTTTTCTCACATATGAAAAATAATGGAAGTTCTGTGCATGCAGAACGCTGGTGTCATCTACAAGGATTCTGTCAGGAAATGAGTAGGGTCACGAAGTCCCCTCCCCTTGCCACAGTCCAGATTTAGGGCACGTAGAGAAGCTACAGAGCTTCCCCTGCCCTCTTCAGAATTCCTGGGGTACTGTGTGTCCAAGAAACCTGATTATGCTTTGGAACACCAGATGGAATATTACCACAGAGCACCATACTGCCAGAGTTTAGTCTTAAAGGTTTTTTGCTTTGTTTTTTTGCCATTGACACAAAAGTTATAGGAATATTATCATAAGGCAGAGCAGAACAAATGCCTGTAGACACGGCTGCCTAACCCTTTCCATTATAACTGTCTGTTTTCAGTTTTTTATAAGTTTCAACATATTCCTTGATTAGCTGCTTTGGGTTGAATTGTTTTAGAAAGTTTGAGCAAAGACAATTCCACTACTGCTCATCATTTTGTAGTGTAAAATGTACTGCACGATAACGGTCACCAAAATTTCCAAAACGTGGATGTCAAACATTAGAGAGAAGAAATATATCATAAGAAACATAACCACCCAAACACTGCAAGCATCATAACATTTTGGAACTAAAAATCTGTATAAAGCTCAAACCTAATTGTAAGCTCTTCTGACACCAATTCCGTTTTTTTTTTAACAGACAGGTGAAACATGGAAGATATCCAACTGTACCACTGCAACTTGCGAGGGAAATAACAAAGTTGTTATACAGCAAATAAAATGCCCACCTGTAAAGAAAATTACCTGTGCCAATGGATACCCACCAGTGAAGGTCTTCAGTGAGGATGGCTGCTGTTACCATTATGAATGTGAATGTAAGTGACAACTAAATTAAGGAAGAACATCACTGAAAATATACAACACACTTCAATGGAATATATGGGGATTTGTTTTTCATGGTTCCAGGGCTATCTAGAAGGTTGTGTTACTGGCTTAACTTTCTAAATTCTTTCTTGTAGACTTCTTTTAGTCTTAGCATCTACATTTTTCCTCTTTACCAGGTGTCTGTAGTGGCTGGGGTGACCCTCACTACATTACATTCGATGGAACCTATTACACATTCCTTGACAACTGCACATATACCCTTGTGAAGCAGATTACCCCTAAATATGACAACTTCCGTGTTGACATTGACAATTACTTCTGTGATGCAGAAGATGGACTTTCCTGTCCTCAGTCCATTATTGTTTACTACAAGTCCATGGTTGTAGTGCTGACACGTGAACTCTACAATGGAGTGATGGCTAATAAGGTAAAATATAATTCTTTAAAGGTTTTTTGCAGTGTTCCTATTAAATTTCCTATTTCAGCAAAACAGAAATAAGGTGTACCGGCATTTGTCTGAACCTCATGTGAAATATTGAGTGCATTTATGTTCATTATAGCACAGAAATGCTTAGGCAGAGGGCATCATAGGATAAAAAAAAAATTATGCCAATTCTCAAGAAGCAAACATATAATAGAAAGTGTAGGGAGCTAGAGCTATCCTTACTGGAAAATTAGAAAATTATGGAAGAGGTGGATGCATTTGACAGAGTTAAATTCCCAAGAGTGAGGAAGTTAAAAAACTAGGGAATATGTGGTATTGTAAAGTATAAAAGTAAAGTCACCAAATAAAATTAATAGGCAGCAGGTTTAAAACAAATAAAAGGAAGTATTTCTTCACACAAGGCACAGTCAACCTGTGGAACTCCTTGCCAGAGGATGCTGTAAAGGCCAAGACCATAACAGGATTCAAAAAAGAACTAGATAAATTCATGGAGGACAGGACCATCAATGGCTATTAGCCAGGATGGGCAGGAATGGTGTCCCTAGCCTCTGTTTGCCAGAAGCTGGGAATGAGCGACAAGGGATGGATCACTTGATGATTACCTGTTCTGTTCATTCCCTCCGGGGTACCTGGCATTGGCCACTGTCAGAAGACAGGATACTGGGCTAGATGGACCTTTGGTCTGACCCAGTAGGGCCATTCTTATGTTCTTAGTAAGATTAGATTATGAGTTCTAGCATGAGTCACAAACCCATGGAGTATGTTATTGAGGCAGGTGAATAAAGCAAGATATTCTGGTTTTGGAACTGATTAAGACACAGTCTTTTGTAAGGGCTGGTGTGGAAATTAATTGCTCCTGGGGGACTTCTGTCTGAGGCAAACCCATATATTGTGTGCAAAAAATCAATACAAAGGGGTACAGATATACACCAGAAAACCAATTCTCCCTTAATGGTGCAAACCAGCACTCACTCCACGTTAGTTGGCCGAATGGGGATCTCCCCCTGAGTATGGAGATCTTTAAATAGCATAAAGCCCCCCTAATAGCTGAAGAAAAGGGGATGAATGGTTGAAGAGAAGGGGATGAACTAGAGCATCCATTTACCCCAGTAATCCTAAATTGCTGTTGGCAGTTGGTGAAAATTAGAAGTGGCGTCATGCTGCCCTATTTTATTTTGGGGACTGACCTGGCACTCAGATGGCTCAGGATGGTGGGAGGGGAGATGCAAAGGTGTGTGCGTCTCGCCCCCATACAGAGCTGTGCCAAGCACTCATAAGCCACTGTCAGGGACAGGATAGGGCAGTGTCTCTCAACCTTTCCAGATGACTGTACCCCTTTCAAGAGTCTGTTTTGTCTTGTGTACCCCCAAGTTTCACCTCACTTAAAAAATCAGACATAAAAATACAAAAAAAAACCGGAGTACTTGTGACACCTTAGAGACTAACAAATTTATTTGAGCATAAGCTTTCGTGAGCTACAGCTCACTTCATCGGATGCATTCAGTGGAAATGAATGCATCCGATGAAGTGAGCTGTAGCTCACGAAAGCTTAGGCTCAAATAAACTGGTTAGTCTCTAAGGTGCCACAAGTCCTCCTTTTCTTTTTGCGGATACAGATTAACACGGCTGCTACTCTGAAACCTAAAAATACAAAAGTGTCACAGCCCACTACTACTGAAAAAGTGCTGACTTTCTCATTTTTACCATAGAATTATAAAATAAATCTATAGAAATACAAATATGGTACTTACATTTCAATGTATTGTATACAGAGCAGTATAAACAAATCATTGCCTATGAAATTTTAGTTTGTACTAACTTCGCTAGTGCTTTTTGTGGAGCCTGTTCTAAAACAAGGCAAATATCTAGGTAAGTTGATGTACCCCCTGGAAGACCTCTGAATACCCCCAGGAGTACCCATACCCCTGGTTGAGAACCACTGGAATAGGGCATATTGTAAAATGTAGCCCAATGATTCCCAGTCAAAACAGAATGGTACTTGAGGGATCTGCAACTCTCCCTCCTCCATCCCAATCAATGAGAAAAGAGTTAAGTTCCTAACATAGAAATAATTCCTGAAGAACAATATCACCAACCAAAAGTCCACACTTTTGTTAGCACCTGGAATTTGTATGTGGCAAATGTAAGTAACAGCTTAATTTCAAGAGGAAACAAATCATCATATAAAAATGATGGGTAAAATGTATATTTCAATACGAGTTCCAGGGGCTCTCCCTGAGCTAGACACCCCTCATGGTTTAGTCCATTATGATTATACAATAATGACAGGGTTATAACAGAATAATGGCATGAATCTTGCTGCAGCTTAAAAAATTACGGCCTAGTCATTTTCTGTAAGGAAAAATGCCTACAAAAAGACGCAAATGATATTTTCACTCTTTATATTTGGCCTTAAAATAATGTGTATTAGCATAGAGCCTGCCCACATGGAATATGACTAATTGCATAACAATGCTAATTGAACAGGACCACTCTGATAATTAGTCCCACAACTAAGTCACTCGGGGAGTGTAAAGCAGCACAAGAAAGGAAAAAAACCAATATGAGTTGTTATTATTATAAAATCCTGGTGTGGGATATGAGGAACATGGGATATGATATCATAAAATGACATGATTATAAATATTAGTAAACAAATTATTTTAAAATATGTGTCTAACAAAAGAGACTCCTGCAATTACTTAATTTTTAACCCCATACGCAGATTATCTTCAATAACATGATTGTCAAACCAGGCTTCCAGAAAGATGGCATTTCTGTTTCCATGCTTGGCATCAACATGGTTGTTGAAATACCTGAGATTGGAGCTACCATCACCTTCAGTGGGTTGATCTTCTCAGTGAAACTCCCATTCAGCAAATTTGGCAATAACACTGAAGGACAGTGTGGTAAGATAGATGCATTTAATCCTCCTCTTCTCACTCTCCCTATGTTTATTCCCTGAGCCAGATAGTTATTCAAGCTTACCATAGACTGAAATTCCTCAAAAGTAAAGTAAATGGATTTAGGTGAGAATTTGGATCTCATCCATTGTTACTTTTTTATATCACTTCTATCTGCTTCTAACAAATAGGTTCAAATGCTTAATATTTCAATGACCTGATTTTTGTCTTATCATTTTAACCTTACATAAACAATTATTAAGTAAACTCAAAAGAAATGATGCACTTTGAGTATCAAGCAATCTAAACTTACAAGGAGTTTGATCCATTCACTATGCATACCAGTTTTGAATTTGATATTAACGTAATGTGTTATGCACTTTGTCAGTGGCTCACACCCTTCTGATCTGGTTATGTTTGGTCTTCCAGGTACATGCACAAACATTAAATCAGATGACTGCCGCTTGCCAAGTGGTAAGATCATTCCTTCTTGTACCCAAATGGCTCCCTATTGGAAGGTTGACGATGGCAAGAAACAATACTGTGTAGGAACACCAACACCATCACCACCAAGACCCAGCACCCCAACTCCAGCTCCCACCTGTCCCCCTTCTGCTCTTTGCAAGATAATTTTGAGCAAGTAAGATAAAAAAATGAATTATTTTACTCTTCCTTAACTAAGCAAAAGTATCAAAAAATCCTATAAAATGATGGAGATAAGAACTAGATCCCCATCAAGCCCTTATCAACAAATACAGGGCCAAATCTAGGGTGGCCTTATGCACACGTCTGAAGGCCAAACAGCTGTGTGACAGCTGCAGAGTGGGGCAAATACAATAGAAGTCCTCTGCAAGTGGAAACCACATACTTGTTTACACCAAGGAGATCTCCATGATGATTCCACAGGTCTCTGAGGAGAGGGTATAGAGAATGTCAACAAGTCAGGGGCCTGGCAAGTAATAAAACCCAAATTTTCTGACTTGCAGTTATGTGCTTTAACCACAAAATCATCTATCCCCCACATGCTTTCCATGGCACATCTATCCACACCAAGTTATATTTTTCAAACAGTAACATCACTTTACATTTGTAAGATGCCTGATGAGTCTGGTTTATGAAAACGTAGACAGAAAGACAGACGCCTTTCCCCATAAAAAAATCTAAAATGTGTGTATATTGTACATAAAAAATGTTCTACATGATGGTTTCAGACTTCTCAGCCTTTCCATTCTGGAGTCTTTCTTCCACGTTTGTGCCCACTTTTAAAACAAAGCTGAGTTAAATTTCAGACAGAAACTCATCTCAAAGGAGAAGGACAGTATGCTCACACTATGATGTTCCTCTTTGACAAGAACAGATTTTGTATAGCAATGGTGGGAAATGAAACTATTTTCTTCTCTATTGTGTTTAAAGAGTCTTTGAAGAATGCCACAAGGTGATACCACCACAAGATTTTTACAAGGGCTGTGACTTTGATGCATGTTTCATGACCAATACATCCATGCAGTGTTCCAGCTTGGAGATATATGCCACTCTGTGTGCCACAAGAGGTGTTTGTATTGACTGGAGAGGAGAGACCAAAGGCAAATGCCGTAAGTACTGCAGCATTAACAAATACATGTGTTAATGAAATAGTAACTGGAGGCTTGTTCAGTAAGTTGGTCCTGCATCTCACACTTACTCAATGTATTTAATATCTCTATAAAAACATGAGCAGGTCTGTCTCAGTGGTTTAGTGGATAGAATATGGCAACATTAATTCAGATGATCCAGATTTGGAACAAACTTTGGATACCTAATTCGCAAATGGTAGTCAGCACGGAGCATCACAGAGGTGATACTGTAAAGGTCACATTCTCATCTCAGACCAATGTAAATCCAGTGTAGCTTCAGTGAAGCAATTGAAGCTATTGTGGATTTACACAGGTAACACTGAGACTAAGAATCTAGCCAGCTGTGTTTTGCGAAAGGTAAGCTACTACTTCGCTTCATTGTAGCACCCGCTTACTCGTTACAGGAGAGAACATGAGATTTCAGAGAGGGGAAGAGAGGATTGGAAAATTACTGGTGGAAAACGATGATACAAAATGAAGGGATAAACTAAAATTCTTACATCCCAACTCAATCTAGCTCAGGATCGTTACTCACCGTTTCACTGAGTGCTCTATTGACAGAAACACAGAATGAATGTGGAAGGGAGGTGGGGGCAGGGGGTTGGAAAGACCACTTAAAAACCTGGGACCTTAGATACATGGGACCTCTTTTGACAAAATATAACCCAAACTGAAATGCAATCTCTTAGCTTTTTAACTGTGTTATATTTTCCCCTTCCCATACAGCATATAAATGTCCAGTGGACAAAGAATATAAGCCATGTGGGCCTCTTAATCCTGCTACCTGTGATTCAAGGTATGGAAAGAACATACAAGCAAACCATTTAGTTCATTGTGTCCTTGTGGATTTTTGTCACTTAGGATCCTTTATTATCCACAGTGAATAATTCATCTGGTGAATTTTGGCATTTTTCATTAATAAAATGTATCATTATTCAGCCAGATCTAGTAATTAATGAAGAATGTAACCTGTAATTCCTATTGCTTCTTAAAAGTACTGAATAATTTTCCCTCTTCACATGTATCCATCATCTAAATGCTGTGACTTCCTGCACAGATTGCACTTGGCTGTTTAACTGTGAGAGAACTGTACTCTAAAATATGCCTCTTTCCACTCTAGGGCTATTCACCACAATGGCACTGGCCTAACTGAAGGATGTTTCTGCCCTGAAGGACAGTTTCTCTTCAATGAAAACAGCGGTGTTTGTGTCCCACACTGTCGTAAGTATGATGTTTTTTACTTTAGGGGTAGATACGGCTCTGGACTGGGAGTCAGAAGGCCTGAGTTCAAATCCCATCTCCACCACTGACGCTGGGCAAGTCTCTCCAGTTCTTTAGTCTCCCCATCTGCAAATTGGGAATAATAATAGTTATCCTCCTTTGTGAAGCATGCTGAGATCTCCTGATGGAAAATGCTTTATAAGAGATAAGCATTGTTGTTGTTTATCTAAGACTTGATCCAATGTCCAGTGAAATGAATGGGAGGCTTTCCACTGATTTCAGTGGTGTTGGATTGGGCCCTTGACAGTTTTATACAGAATGCTGAATATGGTGAATATTGCTTATGAAAGCAAGAAATTAATAATGCTTGCTAATTCCAGACCTGCCACTGCTATGGCCCATGCAAGATTCCCATATACCACTCTGCCAAAGCATCTCAACCCTGCCCTGTAGCACTCCTTCTACAGTGCTCCGCCTCTTCTCAGCACAGACTGATCATCATAATTGCCAGTTTGGTTATTTTATGGTGTGGCTAAATGTGCACTGATGACTGGGCTCAGAATTCATTTCACTTATATGACCTTAATTACAGCCATTGTATTCTGAAGTGAAAAACGAATACATTATATTTGTTCTACCATCTTCCCTGCTCCCACCTTATTGGTTCTTTTAATTTTAAAGTGTGTCCTCAGTGTATTATGAACCTGTGAAACATTCAAACTGACAAAAAGGTATATCTGATGTGTTGTTTTCCATATTTATCTGAAAATTTGCCCACCTTTCATCTCTGAAGAATTGCATCAATGTTTGAATGAATCTGTCAGCCCTCTTCTTCTAGGATTTATCTGCAGGCTTTTTCTGGCTGCAGTCGCCTGACCCAACCTTATCACATTTATTTCACATCACCTCAGTAGCACTAATGTTAATATCTATCCTTTCATTTTTGTCAGGTATCTGTATAGGACCAGATGGACTGCCCAAATTAGTGAGTACTGCAATCAGTATGTTTTACCAAATATAGATTGGTGAGCCCAAGGAACATTTCGGGGTTTATGAACATGGGGTTTGACAAACATTTTAACAGATTTTGAGGAATATTTATTTTTGGAAAATACGTGTCCCTTTTAAACTGTAGAAAAAATATGCAAGTGTCTGAATTCTGGAACCCTGTGTAATTTTATGAGTGACTAAATTATAGATAATGGGTTCATCCATTTCTAATCTTTGCATTACATTCTAAAAATACAAGAAGGACAAATAGCAGTCCTAGAGGACCAGAATATTGGTTTCCCTTATTTTCTGGAATTTGGCATGCAAAGTTTATTAGAAATGAAGGGCTGGATGGAGGAAAAATTAGTTATAGCTAGCAAACTTTGCAGTCCCAATTCTTTAATTCCATCTAATTTCTACAAGACCCATTTTATAACCTGACATATAATGCCGTACCTGATATGAGAATTTTGTTATGCATTCAGAGCACATATGGGTGTTCCCTATGCTCTTTCAATTGTATTTCTTGTATCTTTCCCACAATTTCTAGGAATTAACAGATTTATGCAAGGAAAGGTGGTCATGCTCAGATCCTTTCAGTAACATATGGGGCCCTCTTCTAAGGATTTTCAGAGTTTGAGGTTCCCCGATAAAGATTAGTCTAGAAATGACAAACATGAATGATGCTGATGCAGCTATGCATAGCTTTAGCCCTGAACAAGCTAACTCGTGCAAATAGTCTGACTCAGTTCTAAACAATTTTTTTTAACAGCCTGGAGACCAGTGGAAAAGCAATTGCCAGAACTGTGTTTGTGACAAGGACACTCTTATAGTGCAGTGTACAAAACAACAGTGTAAACCACTCCCACCAGTCTCTTGTGATGACCCAGGGTTTGTACCTGTGCAGTCACTGACACAAGAAGACCCATGCTGTGTCCAGACTGAATGCCGTAAGAATCCTCTCAGCTCTTCCATGTGGAAAATACTGTATATATTGTGGGGAACTTCTGAGACATCTTTTCAACATTTAATTTGTACTTTACTTTCTTCATATAGTGCCCACTTGTCCCCTCATGACTCCCACACCTTTTGCGTAGCATTTACAAGATGTCTGAAGAGAGCACCTTTTAAAAGAAATACATTTCATTTCTGAGAGAGAGAAAAAAGTATTTCACCAACACAGGGAAAGCATGCCTACCAAAAAGTCATTTGAAATTTCCAATTATTTTAACTGTTGGAGAAAACAAACTGTACCATCCCTAATAAGTAAATAATACCACCAGCAACAAAATCTCTCTAATATCACCTCATCCCACCAAAAAAAACCCACTATCACCAAAAGTTCTAAGCTATTTCACAAAATCTCTAGAACTTTTACATACTGCAGTAGAAGTTTTATGAATTCCTGAAAGTCACCAGATTCTCCATCCCTATAAATTTTCCCTTTCAAACTTGTCTCTGACTAGAGAGAGAAATTTCCACTAATCCACTCTTCTGAGCCAGAACATTAAACTTCTTGTTTTAAGAATTAAGGGTAAGAATAAAGCTCATTAACTTTAAATGAGGCTTTACAGAGGTTCTTCTAATCCCATCCTCATGCTTGCTCACAGAACTATGGTGCCCATTGAGGAAACTTCAGAAGTTCTTGTTCATACAGTACAGAATCTTCTGTACTTAACTATGTTGAACTCCTTGTTTTCTGTCTTACATTACATAGGATGTGACACTAGCAAGTGCCCTGAATCAGTGGCCAGCTGTCAACCAGGATACGAGTTAATCCCAGAAGTATTAAATGGAAATTGTTGTACTATCTTCACATGTAGTAAGTATTAAGCTCTTCTTTTGTGAATTATCCACACCTGTCAAGATGTTAAAGAAAGCAGTCTGAGCAGCACAGTGTAAAGAAGTTACATTCTGTTGTATTTTGTCGACAAAATGACTGATAGCTTTTCGTGTCTTTCTGCTTCTTTTAAAAAATTATATTTGCATCACACTGTGTTGTTTTTTCCCCTTACAGAGCTAATACCAGGCTGTGTAACCAATGGAACTTTCTACATGGTATGTTCATATGTTACTTACTCTAACACAAAACTTATTAGTTTGCAGCGCCTAACACAATGGGGTCCTGGCCCATGACTGGGGCTCCTGGGTGCTACAGAAATAACAAATAACCACAACAATGTATTAGAACAAAAATTGTTTCAGAATCCTAGCAGGGGCCTGAAATGTATATTCTTTGCACAAAGGCTGAGTTAAACATTGTCCATTACTTCATCAAAAAAACAACATTCCGTCACCCTCTGCATAAGCATAAGGAATTTGCCCCAAGAAAAATAAGGTACTCCTATCATCAACACTGGGACTCTGGTTAAAGAAAGTGGGTCAAATTTTCCAGTGTGATTAAAGAATTTAGCACAGTATTGCCAATCTGTGAGATCTGTACATGAAGCAGTTTATTTTTAGTGACTATTAATACTCCTCCTTTGACTTTGTTTAGCCTGGAGCTGTCATTCCAAAAGGTACCTGTGAAAACTGCACCTGCTCTGCTGAAGTAGAGCCAGACAGTCAGAGAAACATTATTGACTGCCAGCCCATTCCATGTGACACAGAGTGCCCAGTGGTGAGTGCCGATTTTTGTCCCATCACACACAATTTAAAAACCTGCCTGAGAGGAAGTGAGCGTCCTTGACTCAGTGCAATTCCTTTGTTATTCCATTATAAACAGGGCTATACATATAAGATGAAATCTGGACAGTGCTGTGGTGAGTGTGTACAGGAGGCTTGTGTACTGAAGATGGAGGATAACACAGTCCATGTGATTCAGGTAACTATTGCTTTTAAGGTTTTGTGAATTCCATTCTCCTTCCTTCCCCTTCGGTCCTTGTGTTTATCACAGTCGCTCACTGGGTCGTCTCTCATGTTAGATCTCACTCCGTGCTTGGCCAGTCCCCAGCACAATGGGGCTTCCATTCTGATTGAGGCTTCTAGGAGCTACTGCAATAATAACAATAGCTTTCAGAATTCAATGTTAAAAGCAATGTAGATGAAAATACTGGGCCGGGCTTTGCCCTCGGTATGAAAACACAGCACTCATTGCTCTCAATGGAAATCATTCTCACGTATCAGAGGGCAGAATCTGGCTGCAAGTGGCCAATCACACTTGGAAGCTTTATAATATTGGGACAAATCCTGGTGTCAGTGAAGTCACTGGAAATCTTTGGTTTCAGCATAGCAGCCGTGTTAGTCTGTATCTGCAAAAGAAAAGGAGGACTTGTGGCACCTTAGAGACTAACCAATTTATTTGAGCATAAGCTTTCGTGAGCTACAGCTCACTGCATTGGATGCATTCAGTGGAAAATACAGTGGGGAGATTTATATACAGAGAGAACATGAAACAATGGGTGTTACCATACACACTGTAACGAGAGTGATCAGGTAAGGTGAGCTATTACCAGCAGGAGAGCGGGGCGTAGAGGGTGGGGGGGAACCTTTTGTAGTGATAATCAAGGTGGGCCATTTCCAGCAGTTGACAAGAATGTCTGAGGAGCAGTGGGGGAATAAACAGGGGGAAATAGTTTTACTTTGTGTAATGACCCATCCACTCCCAGTCTCTATTCAAGCCTAAGTTAATTGTATCCAGTTTGCAAATTAATTCCAATTCACTGTCTTGAACAGTATTAGGGTTTGCTCCACTGTGTATTTTCTCAAGATATCTTTACAATGGGCATGACAGGTCATTACGGACAAACACATCTCCAGCACCGGGTTCACAAGTATATACACTTTTAATACAACTTGAGGACCATGACGGATGATGAAACAAAGAGACTCTCCACAGCCAGTTTGTCTCCCTTCCAAGCCAACCTATACACTCACCACAGGTTTCTTGGTATCGCTAATTCTTACTGCACAATTATGGATTGGCTGTAAATCAGCGGTAGTTGAACAGGGGGCAGGTGAACCCATTATTAAAATGATTTTGAAAGTGTAAAGGTAGAATTATCGTCTCCTCACACTTTTAATGAACTGGGCTTTATTATTTACACAGCAGTAGCTATGCTGCTAATATGACAAAAGCCCTCAACAGGAACTCCCCTGATTTAGCCCTCAAGGTCTGTAAAATTTGCTTTTTGCACAATAATCACCCTGCCGTAGATAGTATGAACAGAAAGGGTTGTTTCAAGACACACTGCATAGATTTCTATTCATTTTTTACAAATGTTACTTACAGGCTGGAAAAGTCTGGCACGAGCCCGGTGATAACTGTACCTTCTATGAATGTGAACAAATTGAGGATCAGTTTATCCTTGTCACTGTAAGGAAAGTCTGTGGAACCACACACCTAGAAAACTGCGACCCGGTAAGTACTCCTTAAATGTTCCTCTAATTCTCACGTTTGTTGCTTGGGGAAGGATAGGCAAAAACAGCAGGACCACTGTGTCCAAAGATTATACCTGGACCCCAGTATTATGTGGGATGCAATTCTAATTATAGCCTTTTCAAATATGGTCCCTTTGAATTTGACTTGAGCCACAGTGATGTGCTGCACTGGATTACAGAGCACGGAGTAGAGAACAGAACACACAAAAAGGAGTGGGATTTTCAAAAGTGCGAAGTGATACAGGCGCACAAGTTCCATTGAAAGTTAATTGGCCGTGTACTCCTAAGTCACTTAGGTGCTTTTGAAAATGCCACCCAATGAGACTAAGTAAGGTGAAGGAGAGTACATTATTTAGAAGGGGAATTGACTGAAATAAAACCATCCAACTCAGTCAAGATTTTGGGATGGACTGAAACCAGGGCCACATAGGTGGAAGGTCAGTATTCTATTAACTATGTGACCAATGCTGATTTAATCCCTTACTTGCAACACACTAACTTCAGTCACTCCGAATTTCATGTATCTGCAGCATGCAGTATTTAAAAGTTGGGTTACAATATACGACATTAGAATGCTTAACTCGGAGAGTAGAAAGAGAAAATGAGCGCCACTTAATGCCTGTTACTGATGCAGAAGTTGCCCCTCACTGGAATACCATCAAGCTCCCCCAGCCCTGCTTCGAATCAGCATCTATCTCAATGCAGATCTCTTGCTGGCACCAAGGAAACTTGGGAAGCAGGGAAAACCCCCAGGTTGCTACGTACACTCCAATTCTGAATCATTTCCCCCTATTTCTGCATTCCAGGCTGATATCAAGCTAAGTGAAGATGGCTGCTGCAAAATATGCTCACCAAGCCATAAAAGTAAGTCATGCTAATTCTGTAGCGCAAAGACAAAATACATGGTCTAAATAGTGCTTTGGAGCATATTAGTCACAATGGGTGGCAGGTGCACACATATATTGGCTGAGCTGATGTGATCTGAGGCATTATGCCTGTGTAGAATACATTTGGGCACTTTGCCTTCTGCTGGGGCAAGAGAGGGGAATAGGGAGTGGCTGGGAAAAGAACATTCCCAGCACACAGTACAGCTCCTTTGAAAACGTATAGTATGAGCTTCTCCCTCCCCACTGCTAAATGCTAGCCATTAGGGGGAAGGGGCAGGGCCATGCTCACGCTCCAGCATACCTGGACACGTTCTCTTCGAAGGATAGACTGACACACCAATCATGGTAGCCGGCCGTGCATTTAAGAGATGCCAGTGGCAACATTTTGTCTGGGCCATGCACCGGTGCTTAAGGGACAGGGAGCCACCGTTTCACCATATGTAATTAAACCAGGTGAACACATGACGTCAGCTCCACCTCTCTGTTTTCTATCAATAGCTGCATATGGTAAACAAACATATTTTCAATTATTTTGCCTGTATTACTCCAGTTTGTGGACTGCATAGTACTACCACTGTCATCAGTCACAATGAATGCAACTCTTCTGTGCCCGTTGAACTAACATACTGTGAAGGCAACTGTGATGGTTCTTCAATGTAAGTGGCTACAAGCTCATTACTCACTCTCCTTGCGTATGATTGTCCCTGTGCCCTCTTGGCATTCATTCATTATATTGGTGGCAGGGAGCAAATTATGCATTTTTAATGCATCCAATATCCACCTAACAAGCAGGTGTTTGTTTCTGCTGCGTTGAGTTGGATTTCTGATACCTGCTATGTTACAAGATGTTAATTACCTTAAGATCCATCAGTTTTTACTAGATGGAAGCTTGGTGGTACAGCGACAAATGGCTTTAACCTCTGACACCCTGACTTGAACTCTTGCCCATTTAAAAATGGGGTTGCTAGTCTCATCCTGGACATCATTTGTGCACTGACAATGTGTGACCTTGGCTCAGTCATTTAGCCCCTCTGTGCCTCAGTTTCTCCATCTGTATAATGTACATAATAATATTTAGCCACCTTTGTAAAGCACTTTGAGATTTTTGGTTGATAATGCACAGTATTAATGTAGGGTAAGATTCTGCCACTCTTCCATGCAGCACTAACTTCTTCCGCAAATAGCCTCACTGAAATTATATTTCACCACAGTATTGTCACGGTAATAATGTCAAGCCGATTGCTTCCAACAAAGAGGCACCATATTTGGTGATATCTAGCAATGAGGGTGTATTTTGTTGTTGATTTTGCAGCAGTATTTCTAAATCTTTCTTTCTTGTTGGCTTTGTTTTGTGGCCAATCAGGTATTCCCTTGAGGCGAATGTGATGCAACACACGTGCAAGTGTTGTCAGGAGGTCAAGACCAGCAAAAGACAGGTGACCCTGAGCTGCCCTGATGGAAGCACCACTGATTACTCATACATCCACGTGGAGCAGTGCGATTGTGCGGGCACAGAGTGCATCCCCCAAACCCTTCCCACCACTCCAGCACAGCAGCAGGAGCAAGAACAGCAGCAGCAGGAACAGATCCAGCAGCAACAAGGGCAGTCCTAGAACCAGGAGCAGAAGCAGAAAAATGAACCAAAACCAGGAAGAGTAGACTATAGACTGAAATAAATCTTTTCACTTTTTTTCCCCTAATAATAAACAAGTATCCAAAGCAGCTAGAATCTTGGACATATGGATGAAATTCCTGTATACAGCCTAGAAATTTCGGTTTCCTAATTATTTCAGCTTCCATTATCAATGGGTCTCATTGCTTTGAGTGTCTTCTTTTAACTTGAGAGGTGCAGCATTAGGAAATCTTGAGGTTTGTTTTTTCTCGGCGATGCTATATGACTGACAGCTTTTCCTTCAATAGGGTGGAGTGGTTGGAACTATACTCTAACTATTTCCACGGCACTTTTAGGAAGTCCTTGATGTAAACTATAGTCTCTTTTTGGCTTGAAATTTTCCCTGTGGTGATTCTGATACTGACTGCCCAAGGCCAAGCAGCCAAACATCACTGCGTCGTTAATAATTTTTCACTAGTCACAGTCATTACAATGTGTCCCACACCCAACTGACACTGACTAATCATTGCATTGAATTAGACAACTTTTAAAATCCCCTTTGATTCCAGTTCAGTTAGGCAGTGTCAACAATTCGAGTCCAGGAAAAACACAGACTATCGCTCTCACCTTCCTACCTTTTTGTTTGTTTGCTTGTTTGTTGTTTTAGCATTAAAGAGGGTTTAGGTTATAGTAACTGCATCTTCTCAAACTTTAAAGATACTGGGGGGTTTTGTGGTGTTGTAGGAAAGAAAGGAAGGAAGAAAGAAACTCTATCATACAAGGCTGCTGCAGACTATCCTATGTTTACATGAGATCATCAGCATAGTAAATGAATGAAAATTTGGATTTTTGTATTATTTGTTTTTGGTTAACTGTTTACAGAAGAAATATATTTTTTGCCAAAAGGGGTAGATGAAGGATTTTTGTAAACAAAAGTAATAATAATAGTAATATAAATTCTTTCCTAGGAAGCTGAGATTTTTTTAAAATGTTGTATCATTGCTATTTATTTTGTTTCTGGGAAAAATAAGTGTACTGGACCATTTCTTCCACAATTAATGTTGCCCCCATTTTCTAGCGTCAGTGGGTATCTGGTTGTGGGATGTTTTCTTTTTCTATTTTGTTCGTTTCCTAAGAAGAAAAAAGTTATGATGATTAATAAACTTTTAGCATTTTGCAGCTTTTGTGTGGTCTGCTTTTTTCATTTTGCTGAATCCTTCACAAGCAGTTTGTTTGCCCAACATAATATTTGCTTCCCCCTCTACTGTGACGGTTTCTAATCAGCCCCAGTTTAGGATGTCACTATGTGTAGTGGCAGCCCAGTCCTGATTCGAGATTTAGAAGTGTGCTTTGTGTAGAGACTCTAGCCCTTGGTGCAATAAACACACACACTTTTTGTAAGTAACAGACGATTCTTTTCTAGGACTGGCAGAACGGAAATTGTTTCAAATGCCACCTGTTCTCAGACTTTAAGGCCTAATGTACCATATCTAAAACGCCAACAAACTGACCTTGCCACCTTTGTAATTTTAATGGATATTATTCTGACACTACACTTGAAACCAACCTGCATATTACTTGACTGCAGCCTGTGCAACACCAGTATTTCATGTACCACAATTCGAGAATTGTTGCAGTAGGGTCAACACTTTATACAGTCACAATGAAAGATAATGAGTAGTCTCTAAGTTAGTCCCTGGGCAGTCCAGCAGAGGGAGCACCATGGTAACTGTGCCTCATGATAGGATAGGTAAGTACTGGAACAGGTTACCAACGGAAGCTGTGGAATCCCGTCACTGGAAGTTTATAAGAACAGGTCAGACAAACACTGGTCAGGGATGGTCTAGGTACACTTGATCCTGTCTCAGTGCAGGAGACTGCACTAGATGACCTCTTGAAGGCCCTTCCAGCTCTGCATTTCTATGATTCTATGAGTTTCCTCAGGCTTAGCCCCTGAGCTGCTCTTCTAGTCCATCTCTCTTTTACAGGACAATAAATATTGGGCTGTAGATCCCACCAGTCAGAGTTCAGTCCTGTGTTATCCTTAGGGACCCCCCAGCATTCTCTCCTGCTGTTGTCCAGATGTGTGGCAGACTCACCCCCCTTGCTTTCGAACTGTTCCTGTTGCATATCCTGCTGCTCCCAGCTCCCTGTCAGCCAGCTGCCTGCATCCTTGTTTGGGTCATTTTTTTTAGCCAGCCTCTGTGTCTCAATGTGCAAGTTGCCTTCCTTCCATGATCAGCTCTCAGGCTACTGCCTGCAGCATTCTAGTCACCTTCACAAGCAGCACACTGTCTTTCTTTAGGCCTAATCCAAGTGTCCTCTGGATGTTACTCCCCGAGACATTTCCTGCAATAAACTTCATTGCATTACATCAAACCTTTCTGAATTAAGTTTACGTATTTTAGGAGTTCACAGTGTAAAAAATGCAAATGTTTATGATTTATTGTGGGGATTATATAGGGAGACAGGATTAAAGAAAACCTCAGGAGTGTTATGAGCCTCAAAGGACCCTTTGACAACTATGGGCGAGAGAAGATTGAATTTTTTTTTCCCCTATAAAATACTTGGGAAGAGGGGGATGCAAATTACCCACCTCCCGACCCATCCTTGAAGCTGTGCCTGAAAGAGAAACCTACTGTCTGGCTGATTACCTATTCATGGTCTCTTCAGATCAAAGACATGATCTAGATAAAGGAGTGACTCACAGATTCAAGTACTCCTTGTTCTTTCTGCAGATTCTAGGATGTGCTTGTTTTGAACGAACAGCTGTTATGAACTTGTGACCACAGGAAAACTCCCTGGTGGGGTTTGAAGGTCAGATCACTGGCCCAAACCCTTGTTGGAATCAGGGGGTGATCTCTGGCTTATTAGCATGTATGTACATTCTGTTATGGTTTTTTTAAGTTTTTTCTTTAATGTTTTTACCTTAGCAATACATTTGGTTACTTAGAAAGAGCAGCGTGGAACTGAACTGTGGGTAATTACACGTTTATAGCCTCTGAACACAAGGCAAAGCAGGCCGGCTTATGCAGTCTGTCTTTCTGGGAAATTCACAGTGTGGGCAGGAAACTGTGCAACCTGGAAAAACCCTAGACAGGGGGCAGAAAGACACAGGTCTCTGCCCAAGAGAGGTGATGGCTAGGAATAGTGGGTGCCCTTAGTGGACCATGAAAGGGAAATACAGGTGCTGTGGCTCTGAACTGTGACACTCCCTTTTCCTGCTTGCTCTGGGTAACACAGAGTTATCTACAGGCTAGATGTTGGGTCTCTGTTCCTCCAAGAATAACCTGTGATGCTTCTCCTCCAGCTCATTCTGGGGGAGGGGTCGGAGGATACCTAGTAATGGACAAGTAGGTTAATTACACTAACCCTCTGCAGGAGAGGAAGCTACCCCATATCCAACTCAATCCACCAGCCCAACTTTGTGCCACAGGGCTGCCATATGACCCTCAATCCTTTCTCCATCCAAAGCCTGAATCTCAACAACATAATTTCTTTCATTACTTGAAAACAGTGTGTATTCAGAGTATGCCACCAGCAACTTCACATGGCTTGCTGGCAAAACAGGACTTGCGCCAGTCCTTGAGAGATTTGTGCCAATTACACCATTCATAGAGACCCCCAACTGCCTTAGCAAATTCCCCCTTTTGTACTTATTCTGTACCACACATTGACCCTAAATTCTCAGGTATACCCCTTACTGTGACTACTGACTGAGTGTGATGGACCATGCTTGCTTCCTTTGTCCTTAGCCTCTCAACCAAAAATCCTTTGGCAAGAGTAGCTAAGGACTGACATTGAGGTCTCCTTTGGCTTGTGCTGGGAAGTTCATTCATCCATCCTTATTACATTGTCTCAGCTGTGAGGCTACTGGATCCATGGTCTCCGACTTTATTGTGATTCCCATTTTCCAATGTCTTGCTGGACATCTTCCCCATTACTGAGATCCTCACACTTCAGGATCACCGCTGCTCCAGTCTCTGGAATGGCTCCCTCCTATGAATTCTCTCATCCTTTATTCCTCTCCTTGTCATGCTGGTAGCTCTTTCAATCAATTATTCTGTGGGTAATGCACTGATGTTGATTGTGTCCATAATGGTCAAGACTTGCCACAGATTCACTGCTTTGCCCATTATCCCTCGTGTAGCTGTGACATTGACAGCTACTGGAGCCTACTCACCTTCAGTTACACCAAATTCTACATTCTTGCTAACCCACAATCTATTAAGTGCTTCCCTCACATTCAAGGAGGGATGATACCTGTTCTGAGGCTCTCACAACTTATGGACATTGACAAATAGACAGGCATTAAATGCAAAATTCAACCAAAAATAAAGTGGAAACATGAGTGAACTGGCAAATGATCTCTTGATGCATCCCAGCATATTGTGCAGGTCACAGCAACTCTCTACTAGATAACTATATATATATATATATATATATATATATACACACACACACACACACACAGTATAGATATATAAGGTTTTTTTCTCCTGCTAATAACCCACCTTAATTGATTGGTCTCATTACAATTGGTATGGCAACACTCATTTTTTCATGTTCTCTGTGTATATATCTATATCTATTATATATAAAAAGCCACTAGCCGTCACCTTCAGCCCCCAACTAAAACCTCTCCAGCGCATCATCAAAGATCTACAACCTACCCTGAAGGACGATCCCTCACTCTCACAGACCTTGGGAGACAGGCCAGTCCTCGCTTACATACAGCCCCCAACCTGAAGCAAATACTCACCAGCAACCACACACCAAAAACACTAACCCAGGAACCTATCCTTGCAACAAAGCCTATTGCCAACTCTGTCCACATGTCTATTCAAGGGACATCATCATAGGACCTAATCACATCAGTCACACCACAAGAGGCTCATTCACCTGCATATCTACCAATGTGATATATGCCATCATGTGCCAACAATGCCCCTCTGCCATGTACATTGGCCAAACCGGACAATCTCTACTCAAAAAAATAAATGGACACAAATCAGACATCAAGAATTTTAACATTCAAAACCAGTTGGAGAACACTTCAATCTCCCTGGTCACTCAATTTCAGAACCAAAAGTCACAATTCTCCAACAACAAAAACTGCAAAAACAGACTCCAATGAGAAACTGCAGAATTGGAATTAATTTGCAAACTAAACACCATTAAATTAGGCTTAAATAAAGACTGGGAGTGGATGGATCATTACACAAAGTAAAAACTATTTCCCCATGCTAATTTTTCCCCTACTGTTACTCACACCTTCTTGTCAGCTGTTTGCAACGGGCCATCCTGATTATCAGTACAAAAGTTTTTTTCTCCTGCTGATAATAGCTCACCTTAATTGATTGGTCTCTTTACAGTTGGTATGGGAACACCCATTTTTTCATGTTCTCTGTGTATATATACATATCTTCCTACTGTATTTTCTACTGCATGCATCTGATGAAGTGGGTTTTAGCCCACGAAAGCTTATGCCCAAATAAATTTGTTCGTCTCTAAGGTGCCACAAGTCCTCCTCGGTTTTTTTGCTGATACAGACTAAAAGGGCAACCAGTAACTCTCTTGTGCAGAGAATGAATATGTAATACACCTGACTTGACACTAGAGGGCACCAGGCTTACAGTTTACCCACCTGAATTCTGTTTTACAGTAACTCCCTCACTTAAAGCCGTCCCGGTTAACATTGTTACGTCACTGTTCTATTAGAGACCATGCTCATTTAAAGTTGTGCAATGTTCGGTTTTAATGCCCTCCACCCCACTCTCCAGTGCCTCCCACCCACTGGCAGGCTCCATGGATCAGCACCTCCCACCTCCCGCTCCGTGCCTCTCGCCCGCTGCCTTGGGCAAAGGGGTGGAGCGCGGGCGGGACCTTGGCTAAAGCCGGGGGTTGAGCACCTCCCGGCAGTTTGAAAAGTCAGCGCCTGTGGCCCCAGAAGCCTATGTCTGTCTCCAGCTCTGCAGGGATGTAGAGGTCCAGTGCCTCTGCGTTGCGTGTCCCGAGCATACCATGCAACCTGGCAGATTGGTTCCCTTAGGAGACGACTGGTCTCCCCAGCACCCTGAGGGGTGGGGACGGCGTTCAGTGACTAACTGGAGCAGAGATTTGTGTAATCTGCTCCTCAAAGTCCACCAGAGGCATCCCCA